AATCGAGAGAAGAAAACCGCTCTATATACGCACGAAAACGGTGTAATAATTCGTAAAAAAAGAAAAAAAAAAAGAGATAAGAAAGAATGAAAACAAATGAAGCGAAAGAATATCTCGTTAGGTCCCAAATAGCGCCGAAAATTTTGAGGATCAACGCGACAGACGTTACGTTTTCTCCATGTACATAAAAAAAAAATCCTTAGGGACATCTCGACCTACATTTTAACGTTATTGTTTTTACGATAGTTTTAAAAATCGTAAAACCGCACCGAGGGAATACGACAAAGGGAAGTTAACAATACGCTCGGGTTTCCCCGCTTCCTCGAGACGGAGGTTCGGTTCTGCCAAAGTTCCTAGGTAAGATCCTTTAAGTCGTAGTCGAGACCCAGGATATAGAGTCCGAGGATCGGTAAATGTTTTAGATGTTACATAGGTCCCAGCGTACTCGGATCCTCGTATCTTTGGACTCTTAAATTATCACGAGTCCCCCGTCACGCCCCGAATATCGGATCGTTAGGTGCGCGAGTTCTTGGATCTGTGGATTCTCACGTCCTCGGAAGTATAGATTGTTGAAGTCTTAGATATTTGCGCCAACTAGGATTTATAGATCCCCGAATTCTTAGGTCCAAGAATTCCGCGACTCTTAGATCTCGTTTATTTAACGAACCTGATAAACTCTCCTTCAGGATGATTTATCCTTACTTTCCTTTTATTCGTCATCCACTTGTTATATAAAGATATTTTCAGGATTTTTTAAATTCGACATATGATTAACCGTTATAAATAACTCACGGAAAGGGACGAAGTAATTTTTAGGGCTAGAACGACCAATCTTTATATTATAGATCCGTCGGCAGAATTTTACTTCCGTACTCGAATTTGATCGTTCGTACGTACATACGTTTCCGGGATTGCCGGCTCTACCGCGTTTATCGGGCTGTGCGGTAATCCCACGTTGGAGAAAATTCGTTCGTTCAAACAAACCCACTCGTTGTTAATGAAGTCTCGAGGGAACGCGCCGGGAAATCCACGAAAACCGACTTGGCTTTTCAGAGACAACGACACAACGCATTATAAAGTAATAATGATAACTTAACGTTAATCGATTATTATTACAATAACTCACATCGCGAGAGGTGATGACGATGATAATGATCATTCTGTACTAGGCTGTCCACGAATTATCGCATTTCCCCTTGAGCACGACTTGCGGAAGGTCAAATGGGAACAATAACGGACGCTCGAGTGTCACGGTAACTCTTGACTTTGACGAACGAATTTAAAAAAAAGTCGATGTACAATATTTCATTATTATTTTTTTTTTATTATTTTATTTTACTATCCAAATCTCTCAGATATACCGAGACCGAACCAACGGTTTTAAGCGTATAACTCGATCGTGAAATTTATCTTTACTTGTACGACATTCTAGATTTGCAATTTGCGGCATTATTCGTGCGATCGTCATTGTTGTCTCGACGCTCGAACGCAAATTATTGTGTTTCCCTTTCGGAATATCGACGAGGGGAGGCGCGGGGACATCCTGCGAGTACATCCGTAGCTAGAATTGTACAAGAAGTTAGGGCGTTAAGAAGGTATATCATTAAGAATGAAGTTAATAAACAAACAATGTGGTTACATAGATAGACTTTTAGCTTTATACATACGACAAAAGAAAAAAGAGAATTGCAAAATATTCATGAAAATTCGAGAGAAAGACGGAGAGAGAGAGAGAGGGAGAGAGTGAGAGAGAGAGAGAGAGAGTGTGAGAGTGAGAGGGAGAGAAAGAGAGAGAGAGAGAGAGAGAAAAAGCTTTGCCGATTGCCTGAGAATCGCGAAAGGAAGAGCGTTAAAAAAAGGACTCCGCATTTTCGACGTTATTCGACAGGACGTCTGTTATTCGACAGGAGCGATTCAAACCAGCATGTCCGAGCGAACTTGTGCGATGTTTGTGGGAACGAGTTTCATTCGTCGCTGTCACCGAATTTCCGTATCGTCACGAAGCGTTACACTTATTATATAATTCGCCTGTGTTACTATACTGAATGTACGTTATAATTTATATATGTTGTCACCTACTAAATCGATATTAAAATGCGTGAAATTATACTAAACGAAGGTTTCGTAACGAAACTGTATGAAAAAAGAAAGAAGAAAAAGGAAAAAAAATGACTCTCGAGAAGAGTACTTTGTAGATCGTAGGAGGATGAAAATACATCACTGATATCCGATATAGGTTAAAGATCAACGTGGGAAAATTTCTCGATGGTTTAGATAGAGTCCTTCTGTCCTATTTGGTGTCGACGTTCGTCATATTTGTTCTTGACGACAGCGTGCGTTCGATATTGTTGCGGACCAGACTCTTCGTGATTTCGTTAAACCGAGAAGCAATACTGTTGATGCCTATAATTACTATTATCGAGCGAAAGCTTAAATAAATGACGATTAAACCAATCCCGGAACCCTAATGCGAAGTCATTGACCCCAACACTAGTCTACACTACACTAGTCTTATAATTGCCAAGCAATTCGGTGTTCCGCTAAAATTAAGAGAACGCGTTATTATTTACGGCTGCGGCTGTAATTTGTTTATTAATAAATATTTCAACGTGATATAGATGGAAACGCGACGGGGTGTCTCGAATTATACTCGTTACCGTGAAGCGTAATTCTCCAGGGTTATTCTCTTAGGGTTCTGGGGTCGACGGTGAGAAATCTGAAAAAAATACTTTTGCGACAGCTTTTCGCAGATATGAAACGTCTCCGCACAAAAGACCAATGTTTCGACAGATGTCGCGATCAAATGATTTGTCGGGGGAATTAATTATGGGAAGTCGGGCGAGTCAAGTTCGGGTTGAAGCGTAACTTCAAGAGCTCGACCTGAGCTTACTTGGACTTTATTGACAAGGTATCTGCGAGGAGGTGTCCTTAAATTAGAGTGATTTAGAGTAAAATACATTCGAGGAACTTAGCAACACGAAGCAGGAGTGAGGAAACGCGTACGAGAATCGCACGAAGCTTGCTCGGAAAATGGATGGAAAGTCGCGGGTTCAATATCGACCTTGAACCTTCGAAAACTGCGCGTGAATTCTTTCGTTCTTAGATATCCTGGGATCGACGGATCCTTGAATCTCCGAGTCGCAGAATCCACAGTCCCTAGGATTCTTAAATCAATGAATCCAGAAACACATCGAGGTCAGCGATAAAGTAATAAAACTGATTCGAAAAAATATAAACATATAAAGGATGCCCTACTTCTAACACATTATTTTATAATAGCAAATTTTTTAGACAATTTAAAAATGATTTTATTCCAACGAAAATGCAGAAGTTAATCACTTTTTTTTTGCAATTCTCGAATTTTCATCATCGTAGTCTTAAATAAGTCTCAAATTAAAATTTCATTCAAGCAAATTCTACTCTGCTTTTAAAATTAGTTAACGTAGCCTTCTATCTCAGACGTTCATGCTTTGAAAATTGTCGATGCGTCGACATTTTTATTAAAAAAACCTCGACCTCAAATTGGTCAAAGAATTTGACATTAAAAAGCAATGTAATAAAAATGGGACATCTGTATATATAAAAGACGCATTCTCCGAAACTTCACTAGGAGCAGTGGAAGGATATTGCCGATATGTGCAATCTCAAGGGACATATTTCGAAAGTAATCGCATTATATATATCCAATCAATGAAAAAAATATATTTCTTTTCTAAAGATCTCATTACTCTAGAATCTTATTACTTTATCACCGTACCTCATATGACTCCTTGGTGTGTTTAGCTACATTGCACTTCGATTTTCGACCTTAAGATCTCGTATATCCGAATCTCCAATATTAAATATCCATTCTTAAATCAAGCAACCGTGAACATATTGAATTCGTACGTATTCCCTTTGCTCTTTGAAAATCCGGGATTTTCGCGTCCTCAAGTCTCGGAGGACCACTTTGTGGCGGATGGAGGAAACGCTAGAGAAAGAAACAGTGGAAGCTCGCGTGAACAAAGAAAGCGTAAACGGGACAGATGGCGGAGGAATAAAACTCTTGTATAAAGTAGCGTGCGTAGAACAATTAACCTAATCGATAAAGGAACACGAACGAGTTTATTGTTGAATATAATAATAATGTATTATGTAACATTAAAACAAAGAATAAAAAAAAAAGAGGAGGACGAGGTGGAGGAGCAGGAGACGGTGAAGTTGAAACGGGCGATGATGCTGATATTATATATATTGTTGTTAGATATATATATATATTATATATATATTATATATAAAAAATAACCTAGGTATATATTAAGCGATCACCTAATCACCGACACAAGTATACACTCTCGCAGGATATACAGGGTGTCTCGAAGAAAAATGTATTCCAGTAGGAGACGCTTACTGCTCGAGTAATTTGCGTTCGTTTTTTTTCTAGCGACGACTTAATCTGAGATATTTGTTGAAGATTAATAAAATGCGAAAACAATCCGAGCGTGTTTCATTCTCTTGTCATTCCCTCAAGCGGGATCTGGTTGAATTTAAGCCGCTGCTGCGACACACGTACAGGAAAGATCCGCGCTCGCGAAAATTCCAGAATTTCATTCATTGACTCGAAGAAACGCGTCGAAACGCACCGATTCGCGCCACATTTCTGCTGTGCATGCGTATTTCAAGTTCGTCGGGGCGAGCACGAGCCTCTTTACGCAACCAAATTCCAATTTCGAAAGTCATGCGAGCGCCGTTAAGCAATTTTCGTCGTCGCTTGACACGATTACTCGAGCGCGCATTTCAATGCGTGAGAAGCCTCAGTACTCGCGAAAAGCTCTCTCGCATTGCTCCGCCGATTTTCGCGCGAATAGACGATCGAATTCACCGTCGAGTCGAGAGAAATCGCGCATCCACTCCTTCGGTCACCTCGATGTTGACGATACGCAAGATAAAATGTGAGACTCGTACTCAAGTATAAGAGAGGAAAGGAACGAAACGCGAACGGAGGAAACATTTCCGCCAAGATGGAGTACCGCCGACGACAATATCTCCACTTGCTTCTTCAGGTGATCCTGCTTACCGCGAATTGCCTCGCGGAAAATCTGACCCTTACTGTAAACTTCAAGAGGCGAATCTGCGTGACCGACAACGCGTTTCTCAGTCTCACCCTGGATCCGGCGACGTTAACAAGCACCACCGACGTTCTCATGTAGGTATTAAAAATGCCAGGGAAATGATCAAGTAAGAGTTTTGCGGAAATTCAAACAAGACACTCCAATACGCTCATATAGATGTGCAATTTCTCAAGAGACATCGCTTGGACGGGAAATTGCTAAATCTAAAATTAGAAGTCAGATTATAGGATTCATTGTAGTTTCCTTGAAATACCTTCCCGGTAAATACCAGCTAATAGTAACGTCAATCTTATGATTCCCTCAACACCGTAACTGTTACATAACACAGGCGTTATATTGCATTTACATTGTTGAATGGAAAATTATAACATTGATGTTATGTTACTGTTAGTTAATGTTTACTGGGTTTGTAATTGGCTCCAACTATTGGATTTGACATCGGATTTATACGCGAGCGTAGCTTAGGGAGAACGCGTCGTACGATAACGTTGCGCCCGATTGAACGTGCATTATTACAACCCGTATTAATTTCTCAGCAAGAACATTGAGAGATACACGAACATGGTGCGAGGCTTGGCACCCGCCTATGTCCGTTTTGGTGGGCCAGGAAGTAACTCCTACGACGGAGTCGACGTTGATCCAAACGGCATGCTTTTCGGTAAGAAATTACTTCTTCATCAAAGAGAAAAATCCAATCAATTTTTAAACAATCGATCAAATGAATTTAGTCCATCCGACAAATATCAATGTAATTCTCCAATACACGTCGCGTGCATTCTCGATTCCCACTGACGTGTTAACGTTTAATTCTTACTTAACGCAACGTTAAATTCTTATTTATCAGGCTGATTGCCGCGTAGATTTCCGATTATTATACAAAAGCTTAATTGACGATTGAATAATACGGCAAATAAACGTAATTCGAGACGCATCTCGCTGGCTCTCTATTGGCCGTACAACCGAGTCTCCAAATACAATTAATTATTCTCTATATGTAACTTAATGAGCCGCGGTATCATAGTGCCGGTCATCGGTAGCCATCACGGTACTGGATGTATTAACTAATGAGCGCTCAAACGCCGAGCGTTCTCGCGATTTTGGAATTTCGTACAAAGGGATCGATTTCACGTGAACGTCCGTACAGAGGAAAGTGTCGGTATAACGATATCTCTTGGAGAAGTTCAATCCGGCGTGGATAGTGATCGGCCATCGACGCGCGCTGCTAATTAAAATGCCATGTCGGCGAATTTTCATAGCTTTCGCAACTCGACCCGGGCTATTATCTCAGCGTAGCTTGTCGACGTTGCATTATGACACCCGCCGCGCCAATGGAACGTACGGACGCACTCGCTATCAAGGCTAATGGACGCGCCATATAACCGCCAGCCGCAACAAAATGAATTAACGACGTTAGCGTTACGTCATCGCGCGCCACCGTCATGCATTGACATCGTCCTTGCTATCCTTTCAGAGGACGTGGCCTCTCTCGTCGCACGACCAGGAAATTCGGAAATTGCCGTATCCATTAGAGACGTGCCGTTAACAATCAAACTAAAGCGTTTCCGGACCTCTGTCCGCCGTTTGAGAAGTCCAATCGCGTCGAAATTTCCGCTCGTGTCGCCGGTTTTCCCTCCCTTTTTCAGCACGGCTGCCATAGCAGCGTTAGCGATGACCGAGGCTATGATTTTGTCGCGTCTCATCGATTCACGGGTGAAACGTGGATGATTGGACTTAGGGAATGCGAGAATCGAACGTGTGCGATTGATAAGGGACTGGTGAAATTAGCTAGTATATTAATAATATTAATATTAGATATAAATATTAGATAATGAATACGTATGGAGCAGGGAATTGTGCGCACTTAATGCGACCCGTTGATTATGTAAGCTTCAGTCAAGCTTTGGAACAATTCACAGAGATCGACATGGTGATGCGCGTGAATATTTAACATTAACGTTTCACCGTATAATGATACGCAGATATCAGCGAACGCGCATGCGAAAATTCGTGTCCCTCTCGTCTCTCCAGCAATATCCTACGGATCTCCTGATATTTTTTCTCGCGACTTTTGCAGAGACTCACTCGATATTGATACATCGGTGGGCGGAAGACGCCGGATTGGACATAATCGCGTGCATCTCCCCGAGCTACGTCGCGGACAAGTCGGGAACATATTCGTGGGAGTCGACGAACCTGGCGCAACTGCTTTCCTTCAACGATCGTATGGGTCACAACGCCAGTTGGCAATTGGGTTACGGTAAGGTTGTCGGGAACTGAATTCTCGCGTTGAGGCGAGAAAATAATGAACAAAATTAGACTGCGACGCGTGTTGCGAAATCCGTGCGAAGTGCCGCATTCGTTTCGCAGAATGCCAAACGAGATGCGATCTGTCGGGCGGTAATCTGGGACGATACGTCGCGAATCTACGCGAAACGCTGAAAACCTATCCGAGGTATTCCGACAGTCTGATCACGGGCCCGGATATCGTGGAGTACAGGACGGCACGGCAACGGGAATACCTTCGGGATTACCTGAGCACGGCGGGCGACGCTCTCTCGGCGATCACGTGGCATCCGTAAGTATTTTATTTATCTTAATACATGTGTGAATTTTACTTCTTGTAGATAAACGCGAGGATAAGGCGTGCATTTTCTCAGTCCGATATTTATTTATAGTCGTTGCTCGAAACTTGTTCTCGCGAAATTCGCGAGACTTACTCGGATATGAATTTAAGCCGGTATTCATAATCGGATCTTATACTTAATCTCTTATATTTATATTATTCATAGTTGGATTCTTATATTCAAATTCATCTTCAGATACTGTACGACTCATTTCGTCGGCTACAAAGTATCTGGTGATAAATTTAAGACGGCTTTAAATATAAGATTATAAATATTGGCCTTAGAGAATTAGATGTGAATTTTACAATTGAATCACGATTACAAATATGTCATGCATATCATGTAATTCTCGACTAAATAACTTGGTTCTAACTCGAAATTTCCGATCCGAGTATCTCACATGGGACAAGTTTCAAGTAACAACTATTAATACGAAGCCTAGAATCGGATCTAAATTTTTCAGTTGAATCGTGATCGCAAATATAACGTTACATTTCGCTAAACTTCAAAAAAGTTTCAAAGTTTGGGGAGTATCGCGCTCATTTGCATACGATATGCTGCTCGTTATCGAAACTTTCCGATCATTTCAGCGACTTCGCCAGCGTCACTGTAAACGGTAACGACATTTCCGTGCATCCTGACAATATCGCCGCTGAAAAGGACGAGTTGTACAAAGTCATCGGTCATATTGCGGGAGACAAGCCGCTGTGGATCGGTAAGAGGAGCAGCTCGAACTCACGCGTGATAATCTCGGAGATATCGCTTGTTTTGCGTCTCTTAATTTATCATTAATTCAATATACATTTTTCGTCGTTAAAAGCGGAATCAAAGCCGGAAGAATGCAAGCATAAATATATGGGAGCACTTACATGGACGAGGAGACTCGGGAATGCCGCGAAGCTCGGTGTACAAGTTGTGATGAGGCAATTCCTGGAATTTAGTAGAGCGACTCCCGTAAGACAAATTATAATATAAATTGAATCTGAAGAGAAAAAAATTTAGAAACTTAAAGATTATTCAGCTTAGAAACTTAAAGATTATTTCAAAGCTTAGAAGTTTAAGGATTTAGAAGTTTAATGATTTGGAGGGGAGACAAGAAGAATATTTATTTTCGTAATGAGACAAGAATAAGAGATCATAAGATATGCATTAATAATATCGTTCCTTTGATCAGGACTACTGGGTGTCTTTATTGCATAAGGCTCTTGTGGGACCCGAAGTTTTGGAGGCGAAAATTCAATCCGACGACGAGAGCCACGCGCACTTCTACAGCCAATGCACGAGACCGTCCGCGCTATACGAGAAAGGCGCACTCACCATTTTCGGGGTGAACTTAATGCCGAGAGAAATGACCGTCGGTCTGAAGGATTTCAAGATCAAAACTCTCCACAAATATATTCTGTCACCGGACATGTCTGCGACAGGCAATAAAATGTTTGCAGAGTAAGTTACGTCCGCGATACATCAAATCTTATGGGAGATACTTTTTCCTTTGAGTTTTGAGAAAGGTATTATTACTTTTGCAGGAACGTCTTATTGAACGGAAAACTGCTCGGCTTAATGGACGGCATGAAGCTGCCCGATTTAAATCCAGATATCGATACCAACCCTGACGGTCTCAGACTAAAGCTCGCTCCTGGTAATATAGGTTTTTGGGTCATACCCAATGCGAAGGTACGTATTATATAATTACCAGTACTTTATAAATTGCGGTATAAAATATTTGTCCCGGGATAAAATATTTATCCCGTAAATTTAACAATGCAAATCGTTTGTTAAATGCGCTACTAACTGTGATGGTATTGATCGAACAAGGTAAAAGCTTGCACACACGAAGAAGAGGAGACAACCGAGGACATTGCGGCGAAAAAATTGTCGAAACGACATGCAAACGTCATTCGACAAATCAACAAAGAGGAAGCACAGGAGGAAGAAAATATAAATCCATCTAATTTAGAAAACCAAGAGCTTCACGCGGAGCAAGAAACAACAAAACGGAGAAACGACAGAACTGATGTTCGAAGGAAGATCTTGAAAGCTAAATTATATAGGAGAATTAAAAGACTTTTGCCGAAGAGAATACAACAGCAGAAAGAGAATGACGAAATTGCGAATTTGCAAAGACCGTTCACGATTATTTTCGCGAGAGAACGAAATAATTCACCGGAACAGACAGAAAGACAACATAATTTAGACAATGGGCATTTCGAAGAAACGGAAAAATCTGACGACAAAGCGGAAATTAACCAAGAGGATATTCAAGACACATTGAAAAGATATAAACACGGTCTGCTGAAAAGAAAAACTCGAACCGAAGCGGAACACTTTTTCAGACCGAAAATGCGGGATGTTAACAAAGCTGCAGAGCTGATATCAAAGATCGAAGCCTTGCTTCAACATGAGAAGGAAGTCACGAACAGGAAAAGATACCGAAGAGATCTGAACAAGAGATCAGAGGATCCAAGAAAGGATGTACTTGTGAGGCACTCGAGAACGGACGATTTAAAAGATCGTATTAAACGAAAAATGAGGCGAAGGATTGATGACAGGAAGGAGACGTCACTAATCACGTCCGATCTGAGGAATTTTGACGACAGCAAGAGTAACCTTCACGGTTTGCTTCGACGTCCTTTGAGAAGATTCCTCCGAGGCAACGGCCATCGTGGCGACCCTCAGCACTCAGCGTCCAGCATTCAGGAACACGGAAGAGCGACAAGAGACGTGAACAGGATATTAACCGAGATAGGTCCGGGGAGGCACGCTATCCTCAGGAAGCGTTCGAGGATCGTCGATGTGAGAGATCACATGAACGAGAGGAAGTCAAAGCGGAAGGACGACTTCAAACGGGAAGGATTGTTGAGCTCGCTTAATCCGAGGATTACAGACAGCGGCGAGAGCGGATTCTACGGCTTCCTCCGACGAGATCCTATCAGGGGATTCCCCGAAGGCGACGTTTTTGTCACCATAGGTGACTCAGGCGAACAAAGTAGCCAAGATTACGACTACGTGGAGGAGGACGAGGATGACTCGAGGAGGAAAGACGACCAACAGCACGAACCAGAATCGACGGTCGATGACGTGTCTTGGATGAAGATCGACGATGATCAACGCGATTACACGCCGAACGAATTCTTCGAGATTGTCAATCTGCGGAGCGCGAAGATCTTCGAGGGCGCGAAGAACTATGACGACCTGTGCGAGGCGGAGTTTGTCCTTGGCGAACAAGAAAATAACGAGGATAACGACAATGGCTCGACCGTTGCAGGTATTGCACAACTTGATGAGGGGGATAAGAGAGTTCAAGAGAGAAGCATGCAACAACCAATGAACTATCACGGCAATCCCGAAGAGGAGGAATACAATCAGGATGTTAATTACGAAGCACCTGGATCTCATTCGGGACCGTCGACGCCTCTTCATCAACTGACTGAAATTCCACGAAATACGAAATACGATTTCACTAATTATCGAGCGTCAGACGCCAGCATCGAAGTCACCAAACAGAAGCTGGAGTCAGAACCGGGGTTTTCGAGCTTCTTTTACCAACCTGCTCTGGTCTCCCCTGCGAAACACGATTACAACAATTTCCAAGCTACAAACGTAAAACCTGATTTTGAGTATATAGCACATCCTAACAACGATAGAGTTGTTGTCTACCATAGAAGAGACAAGAGAAGCGACACGAAGGAGCTGCAAGGGCTGTTCTCCGAAGAGATGATCAAGGAGGACGCAAACAACACCAAGGATTGCCAGTGCAGAGTTACCCGAGCTCCTAAAAAGGAAGCTGCAGACGCGGAGGCAGAAGCGAGCCCGGACTTTGCGCGACCCTCGAGAAACATGCCGCGTCCTATAATGAAAGAGAAGTTTGACAGAATCATGACGGGGGAGATGCTTTCGAGCACGAGCGAGACTGACTCCGATTACGACAAACGTGATGCGGAAACCGTAACCGTAGGATCGAACCGATCGCATCGCAGATTCACTGAAGCGATGCGGACGATGGACGAAGCCAAGTCGTCAGCGACGCCTGCTTCGGGAACGAGCGATCTCTCCGCGCAACGAATCACGGAGGAGCAAACGTTTTTTCGTGCCCAATCATCAACCGCGCCGACGGAAATCGAGGAAGCGACGTATGATCCTGAGGCTGCTCTTGAGGTTCCTTCACGCAATAAGGAGAATCGGCAACAACTTGCTACATCCGAGGCTACACGGCAAACATCAACCTATCTTTACGAGGAGACACAATTCAAGGAGGGGACCCGACAGAAATTAACTGATGCCGTCACCAAGGGCGAGAAAGCGAAAAGAAAAAGATCCGACGACCGTGAAGGCAGCTCGAAGCCAGAAGAAGAAATGACGAAAAGGATCGCCGAAGAGAGCACGACGGAAACGTCGAAGCTGGGAGCGCACAAAACGACCGACTCGAAAGCGAACAGATCCAAATCCAGAAAATTACCCAAGGAGTCCGGACAAGACGAGGACGGTCCGAGTCCGAGCGAAAAATGTGAAGATCGAGCACGGGCTAAGGAAAAGAACGACCTGAAGAGAGTAACGTCCCAAATACAGAACATGCCGAAGTCACGGTTGAGAGACATCGTTAGATACGAGGAATACCTGGTGAGACGCGCCGAACAGGCCCGAAAGCTGAAGGAGAGGCTGAAGGCGAGACGAGAGAGGCGTCGCAACGACCCGGCGAGGATCGCCGAAGAACAGACGCGGAATCTCAGGAGGAGAGAGGTGTGGGAGAAATTTTGCGAGAACGACGACTTCTGTCGGCTGTTCGACCAAGGGAAGCCACTTCGCTTTCTAAAGGACGAAGTCGAGGCCCGCGTAGATGTCGACGACGACGACAACGATGGTGATTATGACGTTAAACACGAGGAGGACGGGCTCGTTAATTCGCATTACCGCTTCCTCCGGCATCCAAAAGTCATCGGGATCGAACGGGAACCTGCAACATCGTCCACACCTTCGAGTCGCAGGATATTCGCGATGGATCCTTCGACGTATCACGGCGACGAGCCGGTTTTGGAGCTGCACAAGGAATACCTGGACCTTCCTCCTCCGAAATACTCGTCGAAGACCAAATCCGAGACTCAGGCTCCGAAATGGACGCTGAAAGACTTTTATCAAACTCTACCAAAGGTTTACGGGAACCAGCAGAGTACTTCCAAGCCCTACGACAATTATTACCGTCGAGATTACGCGAGGAAATCGCAGGTTAAGGACGCTCACGAGCGAGGAAACGCAGTCGTCCTTTACGTTCTGGATAAGCACCGACAATATGACACGGCGGAAGAACTCGCAGATTCACTCTCGCGAATCTACCTGAGCGCTCTTAACCGGCGAGATATCAATCGAGCTGCGAAAGGTGAGACGACGAGCGACTTGAACAGATTCGGCGATTCGGCATCCGCGCTTAAAACAGCCAGAAAAGTCAGTCTGTCAAAGAAGATTAACGAAGAAGACACGGGGACCGAAAGATACGCACAACATGAGGAAGTTGACAGTCGCTATGATGAAAACGTTGGAGAGGAAAATAATAGATCCAACGAGATGAACGATGAGGTTGAAGACGATACAGATGTGTCTAATACGAAAGCCCGAAATGTTGAAGAAGAAATTGTCGACGGCGGCGGTTCTGAGGCAAGCGGACTTCTCGATACTTCGAACATATCTCCTCGTAGTCGAAGGAACACCGAAGAACAAACGGCCGACAAGCATCTACAGCGAACACGGTATATACTCCGTGTCATATTTTCTTTTGTTCAACTCTCTGTGCAATTGATTTCTAAAATCCTCGAATTCATTCCGATTATTAACGATAGTTTAAAACTTTTAGATTTTTCAAATTTGAAGCTTTGAAGGTTAAATCTCAAAAAGATCTCATTGATATAAAATAAATAATTTTAAGACCGACATTTCGGTTAACGCAAAATACTGCTTTCCTTGTGCGCAGACTAAGCAGAGCAGATGCGAAAACCGAATCCGATCGAAATAGGTATATCTGCATGGAGGAAGAGGATTCCGAGGAGATATCCAGCGAACAGTCGATACCGCTTTATCAGTTGACGAGACTTTCGTCGGATGCGGTTCTGTCTCGCAAATCGAAGAACTACGCGACTTCCTCAAATAGAAACTCTGATCAGGAAGAGGAACGACAGGGAGAGGAACGGTCGCCGAGATATGTGATTCTTATGCCCGATAAAATCAAAGACGTTCGTTCGTATGAGACGTTAGGAGCGAAGAATCCGGAAAGATTCTCGGAACGTTTCGGGGTTTCGAGTTGGCTCGATCGATATCTACCGAGAAGAATAACAAACGCGATGATCAGATATTTGAATGATGTATCTTCGGACGAACCCGATTACGAGGATCCCTTGGATTTGCCGAGCGGAAGTGCCGAGGAGACCTCGGACGAAGACATTTCGTATTCATCGGATTATTCGGGTGTAAGCAGTGAGAGCAGGCGGAAAGTTCCCAGAAATGTCGCGGACGAGGTCGATCACGAATCGAAAGAAGAAGATCAACAGAAAACGAAAAGACAACGAAGACAAGCCGAAATCGATACGGTAAAATGTCGAAATAATTAACAATAAAGTTTTCAGTCACGCAGATTTCATATATATTTATCATTTTATCTTTTAGTTATTTATCTTATATAACCGTATTTTTATAATTTTATAATTTCTTTGCATTTATATAAAAATAGACGTTTCAGAATTTGTGTATAGAGAAAGCGAACTTTAGATTTCCGCTTTGAAAGCGCTTCGATGATCAACATCTAATATTAAAAAAATATATATATAATGTTCTTTAGAAATCTACTGTTTTCTTGTACTATTGTTAGGACTATACTAAACAAATAGCTCTTTGTGATTTGTATGATCCTGTCTCACGTGAGATCTTTCTTTCTCAAAGTTAACTTCACTTCTCCACAGCTGGAGACAAGCGAATCCGTTCTGACTGAAGGCGCGGCTAAAAATGAAAACGACAAGTATTATTTACAACGAAACAGTATGAATGAAAAGGGTACGACGAAAACGGATCATCTGCACTCCGAAAAGGACGGAAAAATTTACGGTGACTTTCTCGAGGATTTAGTGAAATCCCAGAAGAAATATATTATTTCCACGGAAGATAAAGGGAACAATGAAAGTTTAGAAAATGGCATTACGAAGAGCGACAAGAAGTTGCCGTCTTTCATGGAAGAAACGATTCCGAAATTACAAGGCGTTATTATTGATGGTTTAGAAAAGGCAAAAGATCTCACCGATTCTGTAGAACAATTTGTCAATAATTTCGAGGAGAACTTCAATGAGACTTCGGTAGCGGACGAAGAGACAAGTTCGACAAATAAAATTTCTGAGAGTACCGACAATCCTTTCCATCTTGCGATTATGAATATAAAGAAATTGTTTACGCTTTTCACAGGAATCCTGCATGCATAAATATTTTTAAAAATTTGATATAATTTATGGTATTTTTATATAATAAAAGTTCTGATTTTAATGCGTAACATAATATGAATTTAATCAATATTCGTAATATATTAATATAATGATACCTAAAATATTTTTTAAATAATACTTTATATTCTTTATATTTATATATTATTATTGTAAACACGCATGTTATTTATATATGCTTATGTATATTTGTAAAATAATTATTTAATGAAATAAAGTGTATCTTTCGTGAAAAAAGGAATTATTACAATGTAAAATTTTATATAATTTATTACAATATGAAATAAAATTGCGAAATTGAGAAAATTAAAAATTAAAAGAAAATGTTAGAGAGATTAATAAAAGTAGTATTGTTTTTAATAATGTTTAAAAAATCGAAAATATGCAGATTTTCGAATACATTCGCTAATTAGTGAGTTCATTGAAATCATAAAACCAATCTTGCTGATATTACCTCACGAAAGTCGAGACATAGCCTTGTAACTATACCCCGATTGTAATCAATTAAGAAAATTAATATTCGTGGAACTGCAGTGAATATCATAATAGCGATCGATTTTTAGGGAATTAGGTCACGGTATCGCTGCTCCTGAATATTGATTATAATCAAGGTTGTGTATATATATACGTTGATTACGACATAATCTCGACCGACAAGCAAAATTTCATAACAATATGATGACAAAACATATGTGTAATCACTGTGCTGAATTATTCAGTGCACCTTCGATGATGATTGAGTTCACTTCGGCTTTCGAGACATCAGTGGAGAATAAATTTCGTTACGAATTCATTTATTACTACTTATATGAGGATATTATCACACCGTCGTAACTGTTATCTCTTATACACATTAACAAAAGACGAGTTTTGTGCGTAAAATCAAAGAGCATGGTAACGTCAATCACTGACGATCGTAAAATCAGTGTGCAGCAGTGAATGTGATCGGCGATGTACGAGAAAATCGCTTTGATTGTTTTGGCATTGCTCGCGGTTGCCCACTCGGAGGAAGTTCCTCCCACCAGAACAGAAGTGAAGGATGCGGATTTCTCCGATTCAAGGCAAGTGACAATTCGCTCTGACTGAATAAAAATTCTGAATTTGCCGAAGTCCCCCTTATTTCAAGATCCCTTGCAAATTAATGGGAAAATAAAAGTCGCTATTTCAGAGTACTTTTAATTTCGATCGGCTCGATTTGTAATACGAATCCGATTTTTAAAACTGCGCTCAAATCTCGTAACAACATTAAAATTGTGTTATGCGTCATTGCACCATTGTTTGCGTGAGCGATTTTCGCATTGCGCTTCATACACGCTGAGTTAAGAACTTTGTGTCTAGAGTTGCTAAATTTTCTGACGTCATGGTTGATCTTAAGTTATATAATATCAATATTATGTTAAATTAATATTACATTGTAACATTATACATTATACTAATTACTAACATTATACTAACATTAATTAAATAATAAATACTAAATAAGGTTCTCATAAAATCAAATAAGTGTAACTAATCTCTATTATTAATTTTGTCATTAATTATAACGTTAAATAATAGGTTGTCGAAAATACTTCCCCTCCCACCATCATTGTGCAATGACCAACACCTCACGAAGGCCGGGGCAAGCCGAAAATCGATCTCGTTATTAACGCCACTGTCGCAGATGCGATTTGTACAACGTCGACCGAGGGAATCGATGCGGAAAACGAAACGCAACGGCGCGCATCTTCGAAAGAGCAGGCTTTCCTCATCCTCTGCGAAAGATCTCGCCAAGACGGGAACCAACGATTCAAATGTGAATGTCCACGTGGAGACTTCTAAAGATATCCCTTATGTTTCGACGAGAAACGCAAAGTACTCGTCCGAAAACTTCGCGACCACAAGCAGAATGGAAATGAAGACGCGCGACGAGAACAAAACGCTTCTGCGCGCCCTCCGAGATAGCTTGAAAGACACGCAGGACGTGGACTACAGTGAGGAGACGAAGAGATGCAACACGTTCGTCTGTTACTGCAAAGAGCAGGACTGCGAGCGGAAATCGTCGAGGACCAGCTCGTCGCGGATATTGGGATCCTCCAGGAGGGTGAAGTCCGGAAGAGTGAGCCATCGAATACCGGCCGGACAGGAAAACGCAGGTAGGATTCTCGACTCGAGTGTTCCGCGTCCAGGGTCGCCGACGTGGTACCACGAACCGCGCGTTCTCGGTCTGATCAACTCCGTCCCGATGCGACCTCACCAAGCAATGACGCACCCTGCCTTTTTCGCGCCGCTTCTGCACGGAGTGCCGCTCGTCCCGCCTCAAATCATCGGGAAAGACGGGAAAACGATCAACGCCGCTTTCCCATACGCCCCCTTCGAGGGCAGACCCGACTTTACCGTTGGAGCCAATGTACAGCATCAACGTCGACCGATTTACCGCCAAGATTCGCAGGAATGCCGCTACTTGTCTGAAGAAAATCGATTCGATGCCATCACCGTGTCGACTGCTTCAGCTTGGACCAGCAACACTGAAGCGATGGTCACCTTGAACGAAGAAAGCATCACCAGGGACTTTTCTACTCCGCACGAAACGATCACCGTGAATTACCTCGACGGATTAGTCAATCCCGTGGCAGAAAATAATGTCGCATTGAAAGATACCGCCGAGAGCACTGAAATAAGCGAAGAAACCCTGCCAAGATTAAGCGCGACGGTCTCGACGGATCACGTCGCTTCGGTGACTGAAGCGAACGATAATTTTGAACCCTACTCTTCGAGCGGAACGTTTAGAATGGTAGGCCAGGAACTTCCTACGTTCATCACGACGTCGGAGAGCTACGTAAACGTGAGAACTGATTCGAGCACGGGGAACAATCTCAATCCGTATTACTCTGAGACAACTGCGGACCGATCGGAGTCGTCCACGGATCTTTTCAGGGAAACTACGTTATCCTGGACGGATAGGCCGAATTTGGGAAAAGAAAATAATGTTGATCAGAGAATGGACGATTTCGCATCAACGGGCACCGAATCGTACGAATACACGAGGCCTCCGCTGACCGAGTTTAATCGATACGTTGGGACTACCGAGCGAACGTACGAGCCAAATGACGACGCGCCATATTCGGGTGGAAAATCATCTGACATGACGGGCAAGCGTATGCCGATGAAGAAACTGACGAAGCAAACGATCGACGAGATCGAAGAGGACACGAGAGGGGAATTGCTAGGGAAGAGTAAAAGTCACGCGACAAAAATGCTGTTGGGTTCGAACTACGAAGAGGAATCGATCACGGTGAATTCACCGGCGGGTGAGAAGTTCTTCTACTCTACGATCTCGTACGAATCTAACGAGCACGCGAACGAATTTGCGACGACAGACGCGACCCGCGGGAATTCGTGGACGAGTACTCTTCCGTGTAGTCGAGGAGTCTACGGGGAAGAAACGACGACTCCCTATTACGATTTTAGGACCGACCGTGATTTCAAGGAAGGGACCACAAACATCCTGACGGAATCGATAGCCGAATCCTATCCTCAGAGAACGACTCTTCAAGATCAACTTACGACAACGCAGCACTCGGCTCGTGAAGAAACGAACGACGATGATGAAGAAGGCTTGGATTCCACCGAGAGTCTCGTGGCAATCACCGATTCATCGGTGAGGAGAAGATTACCATTCTGCGACAAATCTCTGCTGCTGAGCTCCATCAGGAGAGTCATCAACAACTTCGTGTCGAGCGGCGACTTGACGAAGACGCAAGGTCTCGACGAGGTCGCACTTCAGACGTCAGGCAAAAGTTTGCTGCCGGAAATCCTGCAGATCCCGAATCTGAGGGACATCCTGTTGTCCTCACGAATAGAGGACACGATCGTGCAGAAAGTGAAAGGCGTCCTCTCCAACATCGCGAACCGCGATTTGCCGCACGGTGTTATCAGGAAAGCGCTGCGCAACCTGATGGGTTTCCACGGTGATCATCATGAAAGAAAACTCCCGCCGATGACGGTGGAGGAGCACCAGTTCGGCCACGGTCAATGGTACACCAAACTGGTGACTTTGGCGCCCATTCACGGCAAGGATTCAGGCAAGCTATCGATGACGCCGGGACGTTTGCGGGAAGGCATCAGGGACCTCCTGGGAATCCCGGCGATCGCCTCGCAAGCGAATCAGCAGATCGTGCGGAACATGATCCTGCAAAGTCTAAGGAATAGCTTGGGCAACAAAGCGGAAGACGAAGGCGACGGTCCGAAAATAGGAGACTCGGTAATCCTCGAAGCGTTGAACGACGCGCTGCAGGCGTTGAGAGGATCGCTGAACCCGAAAGTTGAGTCCGTTAACGACGAAGGGGACACGGATGTTTCGCAGGAGATGTCGACGTGTTACGAGGGTGACTACAAGACGGAAGGAAAGCAATTCGAGAAGAATACGCAGATAGACGGGACACAGGCGACGAGTTACCAGAAAGCTAAGAAACCGGACGACAATTTGCAAGTATCGATCACCGCCGAGCCTCCGGATTTCGTGAGACCTGGGAAACTGCGTGAAGAAGAAGGTACAAGCCCGATCGCGAATGTATTTGAAGGAAAAACGATTATTTCATCGACGGATGCTGAAGCTCTCCGAGAAGGAACAGAGAATGTCCTGAATTCGATGTTGACGACAGGACGCGTTGAAGTACAGCGAAGCAACGAAGAAGCCCGAAACGGTGAATCTTTGGAGCGTACGACGACTTATCAGCAACCTTCCAAAATATATATCCTGCAGGAAACAGCGGGACGCGAGAAAAATATTTACACGACGGAGGGAACCGCTCGAGGCAGCGTTTTGGGTGAAACGAAGCACGTTGAACGGTATGACGAAACCGAAGAGCCACCGGGAACAACGGTCTCTGCGTCTCTGAGAAAATCCAGTCAGTCCTCGTTCTCGAACTCGGAAATCTCCTCCTTCACGGCAGTAACCAAATGGAACGAAGTTCCATTTGAATCCAATCTAGGATCCAAATTCTTAATTGCCGACGAAGCATCCGAAAAAACACTCGCTGCCACTGCTGTCACACCGAATTCAATGTCATCATCGACCGACGGCGAGACGCGAATCGACACGACAGCATTTTACAACGTAAGCCATCTCGATGAAGAAAACGTCGTTGAAACGACGCAAGACAACGCGATGAACCGGATGGAGGAATGCTGTCCTAAGTACGACGGGATGGATCCATCGATGATGCGCGCGACGAACAACATCGACGCGCCGCCGATAAATTATTATTCGCCGAATGATCGGATCTTGGATTACACGAAGAATCATCGCGTCGATAACGAAGATAGGCCAGCAACGACGGCAATCGTGAACTCCATGCGGAAATCGTCGTCCGATTACGCGCGGTTATCGGACGATGTTACCTTGAAGAATACGGCGGCTGCTGCGAATGCGAAGAACAAAATACAGTATGTGTTAAATGAAGGCGTATCTTCGCCCAGCGAGAAAACAGCTAAAATAGCATCGGCGGACGCGGACTCTTTGACGTCGCAACAACGGGAATTCCAAACGGGAGATGTGATTAAAATTCACGAGGTCACCACGGAAGTGCAGAAGACTCACGCGAAAACGGTGTACTTTCAACCGCGAGCGTTCAGCCCCGAAGACGACTCGAGGACCAATTCGCCTGCGATCGTTCACGAAGTTACGAACGTGGCAGGCAGCGACGATAATTTCAGCGGGAACAGCACCATCAACGACAGCAACAACGATTCAAGTGATAAGAAAATCGACAACGTTGATAATGTTGTCACAGAAGCGAACAAGAACATCGTCTCCGCTACCGGACTGCCTTCGGACGATGTTTCTAACACTCTTCAGCTATTTCCTTCTTCCGAGGAGAGCATCGCGCAGCTCCAGAGATCGCAGCTTTACTACGTCAACGACGGCGTGAAGCTACCGCTGGAAGTAAGAAGGTTGAAAGACGGTACTTACGGGTTGTCGATCTCCAAGGACATATGCGAGCAGATCCTGAAGATAAATTGCTGCGTACCGTTGCAAGGACACGTGGTTCAAACGTCGAGGCCAGATACGCGCGGAAATGACGCCGAGGAAGAGTATCAGTCGGCCATTCAACCGTCAAGTTCAACAACCACTCGAAGAAACACACTGTGGAAGTTGGAAGAGGAGGCGGAGGAAGAATTAAATATGCATCGTCTTTTGAACAGTCGTTGGAAGCGGGATTTAATGGAGGACGATTCGATGGCGATCCTTTCGATGCCAGTTCTCGATTTCGCGAGAAAGTACAACCTGTCGCTCGACTTCAACGAGGAAGAAATGGCATTGAGCGAACTTAGGTCGCGCGAGAGGATCCGAAACATCGGTGACTCGTTGAAACAGTTAGCTGAGGAATCCGAGCACAATCAATTGAAAGGAAATGATCTTGATAGTTATTCCGGGAGAGAACTGGAGAGGGATGGACTGCAAAATAAAGAGGAAGGTAAGATCGATGGACTTCAGGATTCGGCAAATAATCGAGACAAATATATTTTGGGAGAAAATATCGAGAATTTGACAGAAGCTAGGTTGCGCAAGTCTCATGCAAATGAGAGTCGATCGAGAAAAGTCAAGACTTCAAGGCTATATAAATTAGAAGGAGAAAACGATAATCAGCGAAGTGTGAACGTCAGGCAGATAATGGGTACCGGCAACCAAGCGAGAAATTCGATTTCAAAAGGAACTGACATTTTCGAAGGAGAGACAAAATTCGAGATGAAATGGGGTGAGTTATCGAATATTAAAGAGAATAATTATTACGTTTACTAGAGCTGAATATTTTTGTAAGTATTTGCTTATTCATACGTTTGTATTTTTTGTAATGTGTAATAAACAATTTTTAAAGTCTTCCTTACCTTGAGAAATAGAAAATAGCCGGTTTAATTGAAGATTCATAAGTCCCAGGACAGAATAACCTGCAACCAAGCAAAATAAATTTATTTTTCTCTCGATAAGCAAATACTTATGAACAATAGCGTAAGCGTTGCTACAAAAATGATAAGGGACATATAATTTTTTTTTAGGAGACTTTGAAATCTTCGTTAAGAAAAGGGGAGAGATACCTGAAGAGATGAAGTTAATTAAACTAAACAAATATAAAGAAAATAGGCAGCATGTGGATAATAATGAAGAAAATAAACCTAAGCTTTCAGAGATTAAAGTTCTCAAAGATATGAAAGGAAGGCCGTACAGATATCAAAGAAATACGAACGATGGCCCAAATAAAGGGACAGAAGTAGTGAAAATTTTTCTCCATTGGCTGAAGAGCCTTTTCTTAAGCACAAATGAATCGTAACTAATAAATTAAAAACTATCTCCTTTCCTCTTTCTTTTTACATGTTAAATATTTAATGATATTACATGTATGCATATATATGTATAATTTGTATTACAGATATCTAGTAAAAAATGATTTATTTCAAAGAATAGATTGGAAAGATTATGTGATACCTATTGTTAAGTACGTAGAATTTAAAAATAAAATATTTTACTCATTCATTTTGTAAGTCGTATTAAAAATGAAAGGTCTGATTCATCGTAGGGTCATACTATTTGAAAATTAAAAATCCGACTGTCGTTGAATCGTATTATTACATTTGCAATAATAGCGAACTTTTAAATGTATAAAATAAAGAACTAACCACTGAACTGTAATAATAATAAAACACGCCATTTTATATAACCTTTGTACAAAGACTTTGCATCGAAAATGAAAGAGAGAAGGGGGAGGGGGAGGGGTATTTGCTTTGTTCTTTTTAACTGAATTGGCTGTATTAATGCAAAAAATTTACGTACACTGAAGCGTGAGAATCTCGTAGTACACTTTATATGCTTCAATATGTATGTACATTTCTTAAATTAGTGCAGCCAGTTCAGTTAAAAAAAACATATCAATTATAATTGTTGTCTCTTTCTTTCACAGTGTAACCATCTTATATGATCGCTATCGAAGATATAATCAATCCCAGATATCTTGAAAAAGCCTTATATCCCGGTTTTGGATATTCTGCTGTCTAGGATGTTATTCAATGAACTCTATAATATATTTAAAAAACCCACCAAAAAGCAATAAACTTGTTTAGATAAAATATAAAGAATTGCAACATAAATAATCGGACGAAAATTACTATGTACCATCCTAAATCATACTTTAATCACTAAACAGATGTTCATTAATTAAGTAATGTACATTCAACTCGGCTATGCTATCATAATCACCAAAAGGTTTACTGTTAAAACTAATTGTTTCAATAAACGATATAAAATAATATTTTTCTTCCTCTTTCTCTTCTGTGAGAAAGTGAGATAGACAAATCTAGGTTGAGAACCGCTATCGAACCACCTTCCCTCTTTCATCATAGATGTAACAGAACTAATCTTATATTCTTATATAAATGTAATCATTGTTAAATATATGTAACTCACTTTTTTAGTTTCGCAGTCTCCGCTATAAATTGCAATCGTCGTTAACAAAAACTTCCAATCGAAGTACAGCCGACGGTTGTAGGCCATTTTCTTATTATGCGCTCTCACAATGTTCAAATTATATGACTATGTTGACGCAGAACTGTTTTATTGGCTGTACATTATCTTCAGAATCTAAAGATAATATGCAGCCAATGGAATGGCCGGTGACATACCAACATTATTCGTACAGATGAGTACCCATAACGCATTTGTGCGGCAACATTCATAGGAATCTGTGTTTTAAAATTATTTCATCGAACAGATCGGATAAAATTTTATCTGTCTGTAGAACGACCAAATGTAGAAATTAGTTGAATTTAAAAATATTAATAAAGTAATTGAATTTTTGTCAAGAAATGGAATCGAATATCGATTTATCGATCGATCCTTATTTATCCCTACCATGACATAACCTTGAAGAATCAAAATCAGATAAAGAACAATTTGGAGGTTATGTGTTATTCAAGGACTGAATGTTTTGACGTTTCGTTGTCAACGTGATTCGGTCATGGGTTTGTTTGGGAAATCACAGGAAAAGAACCCCAAGGAAATGGTGAGTTTCGCTAACAACACATTGTCATATCTGAATAGTGACATTTAATGATTTCGCAGGTTCAAGAATGGACCCACAAATTGAGGAAGGAAGGTTATCAGCTAGATAGGCAAGTAAGAGGTGAGTCATGAGAAAGAATTATGTGGAGAACATAAGAGATATGATCATTCAAATGATAAGAGATTCCCTACTTACAAAAATTATGCTTTTCCTCAGCGATTCAGAGGGAGGAAGAAAAAGTAAAACGTTCTCTGAAAGATGCAGCGAAGAAGGGTGACAGAGATGTATGTAAAATATTGGCAAAAGAAATTATCAGGGCTCGTAAGGCCTGCAATAAGATCTATACATCCAAGGCACATCTGAATTCGGTATCCCTACAAATGAAGAACCAGCTGGCGACAATCAGAGTAGCTGGTTCAGTTTCTAAGTCCACAGAAGTGATGCAGGCTATGCAGTCATTAATACGAGTGCCAGAGGTAGCTGCGACTATGAGAGAAATGTCAAAGGAGATGATGAAAGCAGGAATCATTGAGGAAATGCTGGATGAAACAATGGATTCTATTGAAGATTCTGAGGATATGGAAGATGAGGCTGATGAAGAGCTTGATAAAGTAAGTAATTTCCGTCATAACATTCTATTAATATAGTAAAATAAACAGGAAATAATACAATAAGTGAAAAATAATAGAGTGAAAAAAATTTCTTTAACAATTAAAACATTGAATGAAAATTAAATGTGTGCCATCACTAAGATATATTGAAAATCAATAGAAAATTATCACAATTAGTACAAATAATGCATAATTTAACCTTAATAGATCTTATGGGAGGTGACAGCTGGTCAGTTAGGTACAGCGCCAGCAGTTGTGACAGAAAATCCAGGATCAATTGCCACTTCTACTGCTGCAGAAGAGGAGACAGAAGATGATGATAAGGAACTTGAAGAAATGAAAAACAGACTTCAAAGTTTACGCAGTTAGATGAAGAATATAGTGATCAAAAATCAATCGCACCAAATTTATCAGGGATAAAAGTATTTTCTCGTGATAACAGTTCTGAATAATGAATAACAGAAAGTTTAAAAAATATAAATATGTATGTATATGCTGATGTATTGCTAATTTTCTCGCGTACTAATTTATATTCAGAATTTGAATTTATTTACATAGTCTGCCTATTAATCGTTTTTGCTCTAATATGATACCGAGGTATCCTTAAATTGAGATGTGGTAATTCATAGCAAAATAGAAACATTCTTATTAGACAATAAAATATTGAGAACCGTGAAATTAGTACATAATAATACTAAATAAAACAAAGGTGATTTAATTATTTCGAAAAAATACAAATTTGTGCTAAAGAAATAAAGTTTAAATTAACGATATTTTCCTCATTATTTAAAAATNTTATTTAATGTAAATACTGTAGGTATTTTTGCTTCATAGAGTACTTAAGCACTGTATATCTATCTACAATTACAGCTAAATGGAAAGTATCCTTATTTTTAGTTCTTTAAGCCCTGTATTCGCAACTTTTAACTCTATAGATATAATAAAAAAGGATACGTGTATAATATATATTATATAATTTCATTCTTCTCTCATCTTCAATTCTTTAACTCAAGCTGCTACTGAATTAAGGCATTAGATGGAAATGCAGCTTAAAAAGAGTGATTTTGTGAGTATTGATATTACGATATTTATTATTATTATCATCATCTGTACTCCTTTTTATAAATATATATAGTAAAAATAACATTCTTTTCAATTATGAACATACATAGAGATAACGGTTGATTTTTGCATTTTTATAAACAATGATTTGCAAGATCAACGTATTGCTAACTTAACTGTCTCTCTCTGTAATTGAGCTCATCTATCAAGTAAATTGCTTCCTTTAATTTTAATATTCGAAACTCTATGACCCATATTTTGTGAACTCCTTTATCGATTATTTATATATATATATATATTATCAATAAAGAAAAGTTCACACAGAATACGGACCTATGGCTGCATTTCTGTATTTGCTGCCAATACTGAGAATTTTCTCAAAGAACATCGAGATGTCTTAAGAACGTAAAGATGTCTTTGAGAAAACAGAACGTGTAAAAAACGTCTCTGAGACATCTTTTAGACATACGTTTGTGGGTATATGTAATATACCCATTTTAACCCTTTGGAGACGAGTGTCGGCATATAGCCGCCCATGCCATTTTACCGTTCCGGACGCGTGTCGGCATATAGCCGCCCATGCCGTTTTACCGTTTATGAAAAATTTTTCTTGTGTTAAATAGAGCCTTAGTTTTTATAACGTTCAACGTATTTATTTTCTTTACTGCGCACTCCAATACCTCTCGTCCTCAGCGACGCTCGCCCGTCGAGCGGCTCCGTCCCCAAAGGGTTAATTTGTTGGTATATGTAATATGAACTGTAAATTTTCAATACTGACAGTAAATACCGAAACGCAGCCTATGTCTGTTCATAATCAATGTCACATTTTTGTCTACATTTTTTTTTAAGATCCCTTGAAGACTGTCCTGTAGATAGATGAATAAAGCTACAAGCTTCAAGGACGCTCAAAGTAGCACCACCGTATTCTTCATGGCTTTAGAGGTGATCGATAACCATATTGACGATAGAGAGCTTCATCTGTGCCCTGGCCCTCTTCGGTAATCGATGCATCAGCGGTGTCAGCTTCCTCAGAAAGCTCTTAACTTCGCACGTGATGGGAAATAATGTTCTCTTCGTGGTACCTGTCATCTTCCTTCGTTTTACTTTCTTTTTCTTCATATTGGTGGTTTTCATTACTCCGAAATATTGTTCCTCTTTTGCCTCCGTATTGTTTTTCTTCATCAGCTCCAGAGAGTGCGGGAGTATCGCTTCCCCTTGTCCCTCAAATTCATCGGAATTCGTGGTTTCCTCTGTTGTCTCCGGACATATCGACAACAGTTGCATGAAGTTTTTATCCACTTTCGGTTTGGTCTCCTGCAACAGAAAAAAATGTCAAGATTTGAACCCAACCAAAGACATCTAGCCGCTATTCCTCAACCAGGTCTGTTCGTTAAAAATACTCTTGTTCGTTACCTTTTTCTGTTTCTTAGTCGTCGCCTTCTTTTTTTGCTGTTCCTGATTTGGTAAATTGATCTTTATCAACAGTCCCGGTGGCATGCTGGACAGGCTGTTCACTGGTATCGGCGCGCCTAAGTTCGATATATCCCACGTAATCGGCATGATGACTTTCCTGAGTCCATCCGCTTGAGGATTGGACGTTGTCACATTGGACATGGCGTTGTTCATGGCCACCGACTGCAACTGTTCGCCCACATGGATCTTCCAGTTCACCGGAGGAGGTAACGGTAGCTTCCTGATAAATCGGCTATCCACATTGATGGAATCTGGCTTGGGGATGTTGATAGAAATCGGTCGCCGGGATTTCCCGCGTTTCTTGGCCAACGGAGCAGGTTTGTTCTCCACCTTGGGTTTCTTGCTGGACACCAGTGGCCTAGAGAAACGTTTTGTATCTTTAGTCTCTTTAGTCTCCTCGCTGATGTCCTGTTCGTCGTTTTTTTCAGGGACCACGGTTATCAAGGGCTCGGAGATGTTTTTAATGGTTGGCACCGCGTCGCATGGACCTATTTTGTTAAAGTTCTGACCAGCCTCAAAGTGACGGGAGCACAGCACAAGCTTGCGTATCTGGTTGGGCGACATAGTGAGCAGATCCTCGCGGTCTAAGAACTGACACCAACGTAGGCATCGGCCGATCTCGTACGCCGGGAACGGATGAAATTTGTAACGTTCCGATTTGTTACGCGGATCCGACTTTAAGCGACCACAAGCCGCGCAAGCTTGGCTCTCCAGTACTTCGACGGGTAAGAGCTCCAGCTTCTTGTTCTTCTCTGGCGTATCAAAGAGTTTCGGCTCCTCCGTTGGCTCAGTGATTTTCGGCTCCTGGTCGTTCCTTCTCACGGAATCACGGATATTCGGCACCGCATTTTCCACCAGTCTCCCTTTGTAACCCGGAACGAATTGTAAACGATCAAAATGTTTCGAGCAGATATAGCAAAAGAGAATCTCTTTCCTGGTTAGTCTGTAATAAGACTCGACTCCAACGAAATCCAGCCATTTGAGGCAACGGAACTCCTCACCGGGGAAATGATGAAACGTAGTGCCGTCGTAATCGAGCTCTGGCGGATCTTTTCGGCTTCTGTTGCAGAGAACACAGGTGATATTGTAGAGGCTCTGTTTGGGATCGTAGATCGACGGTATCGCGTTAGAGTTGAGACGGTCGAGGCACTCGGTAAGAAAATCTTGCGGCCGGAAATGTTTGGAGCAGACCATGCGTTGCAGCAGCTGCTTCTTCGAGAGTTTGTACAGGTCCTCGCGGCTGCAGAACTCGAGCCAACGGCGGCAGCGTGCCTCATCGTTAACCGGGAAACTAAAGAACATATACTCCTCCTCGCGGTTGTTGGGATTCATGCGAGAACGGCCGCATACCACACATGGGTGTGGCATGGTTGTGTTTGCTTAATTTCCAAAAGTCAAGTAGAAATGCCCTTCCTCATAGTTCACTATTGCAACTCTGACTCTTGAAGATCAAACGATCTTCAGGTTTTCTTATTTATCGTAACTTGAGATTAATAGCTCACAGTTTATGATTCATAGATTATGATCAAACTTTAATGATCACTCTTTAGTGATCGATCTTTATGTATGTATCGCTGCTTCTCATAAATTACGATACAGCATATAGTTCCAAGAGATTAACGAATTAATAAATTTATCAATTTTATAATTCACAATAAACCATAGAATAATAAATTAAACTTTGTAACCCTTCTTCTTCATAATTTATAATTTATGTGAGAATTATTAAATTTCTGCACGTTAAGGAAAAGTCTCGTTTGGACATTCTTCTGCTGCAACTGAAAAATAAATAAGAAGTTAAGTTTCTTGGGAAATTAAAAAGAATATACTAGCAAAATAGCAAGCAGGTTAAGTTAGGTTTGACTTAAAAGCAATTACATTACCTTCCTCGTAATTTTACCAAATATATGGTATTATTCTTTCCTTCACTTTTTTTATAAGATTTTATTTATTTAATTTGGTAATTTTTTTCATACGAATTTTGAAGCTTTTCATCAATAAACACAATTTGTTGGTAAGCACTTCATCTCACGCATTTCGACAAATTCACAAAAATGTTTTAAAAATTCGTTTTGCCGAATTATTCGGTAAATCTATGAATTTCTACAGAATCAATATAATGTTGAAATTATTAAAAATATTTGATGTACTTGTTGCGCTTTCAAGCGAAGAGCAAGGTTATGTCGCATCAATAGCTTTCGAAGATCTAACCTCGTTAACCTCCAAACGTCATGAAGACACCTTAGCAACTTGATCGATGCCTACCACAAAGAATCAACAATAAAATAGAAATACAATTAAGGGGACAATATTATTATATTAATGTTAAAATTGAGGTATATTGTGCTTAGAAAACGAATTTAATTTAATATTGAGATTCATATCTTCGTTAAAAACACAAAGTTTGATATGTCATGTTGACGGTTTACGACAGCTCATTGTAATTTAAGGAAATTACAGTAAATTGCGTCACACCTCGCTATTAGCGAAGAATTTAAATAATTAACAATAGAAACCAATAAGAAACCAAAATTTTTTTTTAAATCGAAAGAAAGTTATAAAAATCCAAAATCCTGAGAATATAATTTAATGTCGAAAAGTTGAAAATCTAATAATTAATTATAAATTAAGAATAATAAGTGTAATATATATATAGAAAATAAAAAGCACACAAATTTTTTCAAAATCCATTCATTGGTAAAGAAAGAAATATACAGGATGGCAGAAAATACAAATAATTCGTATGACATTAACGGACAGCATTTCAATTCGGATATGTACTTTCAAAAGTTATTAAAAGTAAGTTAAATGTTCTCAAAAATATATCAAATTAATTTTTAGATCGTTTTTAATAATTTAAGCATATATATTTCATTTGTTAACTATACATTTTTATATATGTTATTCTCAACAGGAATGCACACTGAAGCAAATTATGGATCACGAAGCTGAGATTATAAGGAATACTCAAACTTTGCATTCGGACATGCAGACTTTAGTATATGAGAATTATAATAAATTTATATCTGCCACTGATACTATTCGCAAGGTAAGTTATTTCTAAAAACTATAAACAGATTAAATGTTATAAATGAATATCAGATCTACCTTTTCACTTTTGAGTATAATTTTAAGTACATGTGAATTATTTTAATATATTTCTAATTTATAAAATACTATAATACTTGTAATTCTCCAGATGAAAACAGATTTCAAGGAAATGGAGGACAGCATGGACTCATTGGCAAAAAATATGGACAGTATCACTTCCTTTTCAGAACAGATCTCTTCGACCTTGCATGGAACCAGACAACAAATTGCCAAACTATCTTCTGTACATACTCTATTAAAGAAACTTCAGTTTCTCTTCAAGTTGCCTGGCAATCTCAAAGAGAGAATGAACGAGGGGAATTATGCACAGGTATGTATTAAATTACTAATGAAAGAAACATGGTGAAAGTTTATAAAAACATTGGGTTCTTTTCAGGATTTCATACAACTGTTTGATTGATTTTTTCAGGCGGTTAAGGATTATGTCCATGCACAGAGAGTACTGAACCAATATGGCAATATGCCATCGTTCCAAGGCATTCAGAAAGATTGCGAGGACATTTTGGAGGAGCTGAAATCCAAATTGAGACAACAATTTCACAAGAGGGACGCCTCCACTAAATCTTTAGCAGAGAACGTCGATCTGCTGTTGCGACTGAAGGAACCAGTCGACTCTCTGTGCACCGAGTTCCTCGTGCACGCTGAAGGAAGATTGACAGAACAGTTGGAAATATTGAAGGATATGTGCGAGAAAGACATCATTGAGTTCATAGATATGGCGAATTCGGGATTTCTCAACGACTTGTGTCTCATTGTATCTTCTTACAATGACATGTTTATAAATCGATCGCTAGATGATAACGATTTGGCCGATGATTTTGACACAAAGGCTATTAGTCATGTGAACAATTTTGTCGTGAGGAATATGACGAAATATTTTGATCTGGTGGGCAAAAGGGTGGAAGATGTAGCGGATACAGCGATCTTGGTGAGGGCCCTTGATCGTTTCCATCGAAAGCTACAGGCAATGAATATGTTGTGCAAGGATATGGATTTTTCCAAGTAAGCAGAAAAAAGAGAAGAATAATGCGATCGTAAAAACTCATGTTGGAAGTCAAAAACGCGAACTTTTATTGTTGTACAAACTTATAAATATATGTAGAAGTTATATTAATATAGTTATTTATATTATAGAATTGGCACTGATATCGTCGTGAGTGCCGGTCGGAAGCAATGTCGTAGCCACTTGCACTGTCTGAAGCAACACTTGAGCGAGACATTGGCCAAGGTCAGGCAGACCTTGGCTACTAAAGTCATGCAGGACAACGACGGTGGTCTGGCAGAGCTGCAGGCTATGCTCATCATGCCTACCATAGAAAAAGTCAAAGGGGTTCTGCAAGATTTATTGGTTCATATTTTTATTCCCACTAAAATATTAGAGGAAAAATTTTTATTCAAGAGTGAAATTCAAATTATTAAATAGGAATAAGCAGTATTTCTTAAATTATAACGACGAATTTGACTTTTTCAGGTCTTCCTGGAGTCCGACTTATCGTTCGGCCTGAAGACTCAGTTCCTACAGAGCTTCTGCGTGGACGAAGTGAGAGAGGGATTGGTCGTAGGTTTTCTACATCATCTCACGGTTACGGCTGCTGGATTCTGCAATGGATCCGACGTGCCGAAATTTCCGCCTACTCTTCTGCTTCTGCTCAGTAAAATGTGCATCGAATACAAAGAGAGCAACGTGCGATACTTGGTACTAAAAAAGAAGGAAATATTTCATCCTCCCTTCTTTATTAGAGAACCTCTTATATATAATATTTAAAAAATTTATATATATGCATATATATATATATATAATAAATGGTGTCTTTATTCACACAGCTCGCGACAACGGACGAACTCTTCAGCATCGAAGAATACACGTCGTCGGAAAACATCGTCACTACGGGATCGGAGATGTGCGACTGCTTTCAGGATGCGGCGCAGAGTTTGCTGAACCACTACGTGCGAATTCAGGGTCTGACAGTGTCGCAAATGTTGAGGAAGTCCGTGGAAACGAGGGATTGGTTGCACACGATCGAGCCCAGAACCGTGAGAGCCGTGATGAAGAGGGTGGTCGAGGACGTGACGGCGATCGATTCGCAGGTCGCCGCCTTGTATGACGATAATGAGGGTCAAGTTGACAGGAGCAGCGACAGCAGCAGGAAAACTCACAGGTAGCGTATTTGCTTCGACTCGTTGATCCTCGAATTTTCCAGCTCGAATTTGAGACAACGAAGATTTGCGCGTTCTTTCTCAGTGTCAGCGTGTCGAGGCACCACTACAGATCCAACTGGTCATCGTACACGCCCAGCCACATCGATTCCTCGCTGGTGACGAACATCCACAAACTATTCTCCGAACGGATCGAGATCTTCTCATCCGTGCAATTCAACAAGGCGTCCATTTTGACCGGTATCATCAAGATAAGCCTAAAGGTGGGTATAAAAATTACCGTAAGCTGTTACCGAACGTGAACGATACTTTTGGCGGACGATGTACCACGTCGCGCAATAATCGCTCAGGTGCTGCAGAGTGGTCGCAATGACAAAATAGCACCACCATTATCCACTTTGCCGAGCCGACTTATCTTCCCGCTTGTACAGCACAAACTCCGCTATCGCTCGCTACGCAATACGCTTCGTGCTTTTGCCACTGTGCTTGCAACGAGAATCGATTTTATTCTTGGATTTGTTGTTAAATTAATAACGTCTCCCGATCGATCTATTCTGCACGATTACAACGAATGTTATATGTTATAATTGTAACATAATACGTTATCATCTTATAAATTCTTTACGTATTTGATAATAATAGTGATTCTTTTACTATTTTTTTACATAGACTTTTCTCGAATGTGTGAGGCTACGAACGTTCAGCAAGTACGGTTTGCAGCAGATCCAGGTGGACACACATTATCTGCAGCTTTACCTGTGGAGATTTGTTTCCGACGAGAAGTGAGAACTTGGCTCTCGTTAACTCATCGCAGATGAGCAAGCCAATGAAAGAAAATTAAAATTGTTATTGATGTTGCTTTTGTTATTTGCAGTGTGGTGCACTTTCTGCTGGATGAGATTCTGAGCAGTGCGGTACACCGATGCCTGGAACCGGTTCTAATGGAGCCCAGTGTAGTGGATATTATTTGCGAAGGAGGCTAAATTATTATATGTATGATCATTATAAATAATTTTGTAATTATTATTTTTTTATGAATAATTAACTTTTAAACTGATATAAGATTATTATAAGCAAATTCGGAATTATTACTTACTATAAATAAGACAAATGTTTTTGTGCAATAAAATAAATATTAGCATTATCAAACATTAACGGCACAGTTAACAATAAATTAATACTCGTTAACGTTCATTGGTGAGACGCATGAAAATCAATGCTATTTGCAATTTATATTTCTGCCTTTCTTGTTTTTGTACATATTTCAATTCTTTATTTCTTTTTTTACTATTTCTAAGTTCATTAATTTTTCTCTGTCTCTGTTTTCTTCGCTTCGATTTTTATTTCCACTCTTTTTTTTTTTTATCGTTTCCCCTTTCACTTCGATTTTTTCCGTTTACGACGAAAATTGTTATTCACCGTCAGTCCGCTTCAAATTACCGCAATAAAAGATCTCGATTTCACACGCTACGGTCCGTCCTTTTTCATCCTCCTCCTCCGTCGTTCGTCGTCTCGTTCTTTCCTCCGATAGTTCCCACCTATCCGTCTCGCTCGAAGTATAAAGCCATATTAGGTTTAGTGCGATGTAAGAGACAGGGTCAAACGATTTTAATAAGTCTTAATTCTTCGCCACATATTCTGCACTTTCGAACTTTTTCGAGCTCGCTTTATTTAATTTTCCCTGACGCGCGTCATCTAATTGTCTCCTTTTATTCATCGCAGATTTTTACTCACTTTCTTTTTATCCTATATGCTTTGTCCGTTTAAATCTCAACAAAAAATAAACAACTATACATATAATTATTGTGACGACACCGCAATGCGCGATGGTATATTTATATCCCCCTTAATTTGTCGAAATGCGATTGATTGCGATGCTGAGAAGCGACAAAAGCGGGAGAGAGAGAGAGGGGAGGATCGCGAGATGAGTTGAGCGCGAGTTTACACGAGAGCGAGAAAGATAGAAAACTCATAGCCGTTTGACAGTGGCTCGCTCGACTTAATTCGAACTTCCTCTCTCGGGATGAGATTCATTCGGCGAGTATCCGGCGTACGGGCCCACGCAGCGCATTCTACCCAATTTAATCGACTCCTCTCGGAATCGCTCGTTGCTCGCTGGGGTCTGCCGAGTGTTTTCTCCGTCCCGAGCTTTCCTGAAAAATACAACCTTTTTCTGCTACAACGTACAACCCGTTCGTGTACATGAGAAGAAAATTTTTAAAGTTCCGAGAAGAATAAAGTAGCCGGTGAACACCAATTAACAGCCAACATAACATCAACGTTACAAATTTCCCGCTCAGCAATATAAATATAATATAACACGTGTGTTATACAACAGTTCCATTGTTGAGTGACAAATTATATTGATGTTATTGTTAATCGGTGTTCACTGGGAGATCTACCGAAAGGCGTTGCTGAGATTCCCTCGTGGCGATTTTGCATAATTAGATATCCAAATATATCTAATGCTCGCAAAGACATTCTACAGGACGATGACGACGCTAAAATTTATAACAACTCGAGCATGCATAATGGAACATTATAGTAGAAGATTCGCGAGAAACCCGGCAGTAGCTCGATATACGCGCACAGTCGAGATCTGAAGCGAACAAAAAGGCGATATCGAAGACGAGCAGACGAGGCGTAGCAGACACACATGTGGCCGGCACACGTGATACGCCAGAAACACCTGTGCATGTGTAACTTCGTCGGCAATTTCCCCTGGCATTCCACTTGAAACCGTTGTGCCACATAGATACGATGACGTGTCGAAGAGAATCGTTAGTAATGTGAAGCATTCATACGTCGCGCGAACCGGAATTCTGTAATTATTTTGATAATACCGCCGCGGATGGATTTCAATTGGAGAGCAACTCGGTCAATAATATCGGAGCGTATTTGCATGACACTATTGTAAATTGTACGCACGTGAGGTACATGATAACATTTTCCAAAGAGTGCGAATGTCTCGGAATCTTTAACGATTACGAGTTAATTAATCCCGCCTTTCGTCGGAGGCCTCGCAAAATAACGTAAGTGCATCAATTTACCAATTATTATTACTCAAGGGGAGGCTCGCAGCAGCTTCGAAGAAAAGAATATGGTGCTCGGTTATGTTTCGCGAGAGACAATGCGTGAAAAAGGGAGAGGGAGAGAAAACGAATCGACATTGTGCATCAATTTCGTCTAATTTCAGTAAAATAGACCCGCATGGGAATGCCGCGATGCTCGACGAGCTCATCATAAAATCGCCATGGAGTTCCGATGTGTTCAAGGATAAAGGCGTTGCTTTTGTTTCTACTTGTACAACCCTCTTGCATGATTCTTATTTCAGAGAGACGAACAGTATGTTTGTGGAAATTCATTGTCAATTCTTCAACCACTTGTCTTCTTAATGCTATTTTTCCCCCCCGTTTTGCATTATTTCAATTTCAATTTTTCTCATCTTACCGCTATGTTTGTAGTCGATTTTAATCTAAATAGAATATTATTCCTTCCACCCGCGTGTGAATAAAAGAATACTGGTCCTCTGGTAAAATTCCCAATAAACAAGAAATCATTAACACAACGTTATTACAATATTTTTTATAACATATAACGTTCTCAAATACGTATATAGTTCTTAATTTTGCATACAATATCATTGTTAACAGTATTTGACTCAAACATTAAAAGTAAGATTTCCACACAATAATTTTAATATTTAGAAATATTATATTATCATGTAACAATTTTAAAATACTTAAAAAATATTATGTCAAAATGTTTGTAAAATCCACATGGAATCAAGAGATCGACTTAATGTTTCTTGCTTACTGAATTAGTTGTATCAATACGAAAAAGATGATTGGGGTTCCGAGGAACCTCCGTTACTGTGCGACGAGCCGTGTCTGAGCGCGCGAATTTTTGACAGTTCGATTGGTCGTCTGTAAATACCTTCCATTCGAAAACCATGACAGCTCCGACAGTTTCTTATTCTCTCTGAAAACGTTATTTATCTGTTACTCGTCCGTTTATCACAGTTTTGTTTCAGATTTCGGAAATGCTATATCTCGACTCTGCGGTACAAAGGAGATTACAGTTTAGAGATATTTCGGTTTGTGACCGTAACAATGGGCGAAGATTGCGCACGCTCGTTGCTGCGTTCACGAATCTAACTATCCCTTTCACGTCTGCCAATTTCGCGACTGTGCAACGGGACCGACGTGCATTCGATGAAGCGGTCCGTCGAGGAAATTCAAACGAAAGGGCATCCGCAGAGATTGGCTCATCTGCGCGTTAAGTAGTTGCGCCGAAGGCGATGATCGAGAAAATTCACCTCGGTGCGCTACTTGTCACGTGGTTCGAGTGCGCTCGCCGATGCGTGAAGTTGCCGGCGTTTCAATCGTTGATATTTTCACGACGAAATACGCTTTACGGAGGGAAACCTCCCACTAAATATCTCAGTTCAATTCCCAGCACGGATACTTTGGTCTAACTTCCGCTTTTTTCTCGATGCAGCTTCGACAGCTCATCGCCAGATGAGGTGCATCATGGGATCGTGCGAGAGCGCGCAATCTCGTCGCGGGACACGCACGAGAGCCTCGCCGGGCCCGGTGAATAGTTTGATAACGGTGAGGGAGGTGCGAGGACCGCAAAAGAGAGCGGTAGCGAGGGAAGAGAGTAGGATCATCATTCGTCGTCGGTTGGCGGACCATTCAGTGCCGCGACCGACACTGATTTCAATTGGTAAATTGACTCGCAACGAGGGAGAGGAAAAAATGGCGGCACGGTGACTGGCGATGACGTCGCGGATGGAGGGGAAAGCTGATGAGTGGAGGGGCGGGAGGGAGGGGAAAAGGATGACTGGGGGTCCAGCGTCCAGAGAATGACGGAAAGAGAGAGGTCGCGGAAAAAAAAAACTCTGGCGGCGAGAACGAAGGAAAGGGTGGGTCCTGCGTGGATGAAACGTCATTCGCGACGTAAAGGGAAAGGAAAGGGAAAAGTCAAATTCGTATCGACGGAAATTTGTCTGAACTTATGTGAAGAAAAATAGAAGAGCCGAGTAATTTGGGGAAAGAGGAAGGTAGGTGAGAGAGTTGAAAGAGTCGCGCCACGTCCCAATTCATAGTAGCAAAAGAAGAAGAAGAAGAATGAGGGAGCACCGACAACGGCGGCGGTGGATCTCTTCTCTCTCGACAACGGGCTGCGGTTAATAGGCAGTGAACGCCGTTTGAATGCTTAATGCGGCGCGCTTCTAGGATTAAATTGACCAATCATTTCCCGCGCGACGCCGCGCACCGCGGCGGCCAATTGCGCCGCGCGCGCCCCACTATATCAAGGCAATCAAGAGCATTTAGCGCTCAGTCGTTGCCGCGCCGCCGCGCTGTGCGTTTCGGAGTTTCTTCAGTCGGTTTTCTATTCTTCGCGCTCGTGCGGAGTCGCAAAACGCGCGCGCGGAAACGCAGCTACGATGCGCAATCAGTGTACGAAAGGACAGAGTGAAGGAATGCACGTGAGAAGTTAATTGTAACGACGACGACGGTATCGGTGAGAGAAAACAAGGGAGAGACTTCCGGTCGATATATCTCTGCGGAATTTTGTTAAATGTCTGTCTAAAATCCCTGACTGATTTGGCGTCTCTCTCTCTTTCTCTCGATGACGGATCGTCGAATTTCAAAATCGTGAGATCGTCTTGAAACCTACGAATAACCCGTTTCAGGGTCAAAAAAAGTTATTCCACGATCATAAAATGTACTACTGTAGAAATTTAAGAAATTGTACACGTGTGTATGGATAAAATTTCGATAAACATGGAGGTTTTGTATAATTTAATCACGAAGACGAATTTTGACATTGGCTAATATAAAATATCGGTATCCGCCAAAGGGTTAAAGGTTACGTGACTTCCTGCGATTGTCCCGTCGAGAAAAGTCCCGTAGGGAAATTGTTACACATAATATAGAATAATGTTTTCGATGTTTGATGATAATTGAATACAAAAAAGCGACGATTGTATTCCTTACTAAAATTTAAAAATTTTTAATTTAAAACACTAACGATTTGATATTTCTTCTTACTCATTATTTATTATTTATTACTTTAACATATAATTTGTTATATTATACGATATCTGTGGGATAAAATTATAAGATCAGTGAAAAATTATATTAAACAAAGATCGTGAATTTTATTCGCACTGGATACGTGATTAACTTTACCAATATAAAAAATTGATGTTATGCAATTTATATAATGGATGCAATAACCGTATTATTAAAGAGAAATTCCTTCTCGCTAACTGTACTCAGGAGTTATTTTTTATTTCAGAAAAGATTTTCGTTTGTCTCGCTCGAGTTATTCCATTCCGGCTACAGTACGCTTTTGTAATCGTAAGAGATGCTTCGTTATTCTGGAAATTTATACATAACGCGTTCTGCTCTTAGCACCAGAGCACTATTTATCACAATGACTCCTTGACCTCGCACGAACGATAGTATAATGTATAGGACATGAGAAAGAAGAAAGAGATACGGACGACTAGGGTCAAAATACCAGTAATACATTCAGACTGTAACCCGCGAAAAGTAGGTGAGTCAGGAGGAAATTCATTAACAAACATTTCTCTGTTGCATTTCAGATAAACTCTATGGGTGTAACATAAAGCAAGACCCATAATTTTACTTACGTAAACGCATTTTACACACAAAATATGTTTGAAATACGAGTTCAGTATTTGATAAAATGTGTGCAGCAGATAAAAAGTTTAATACTTAATGGATGAAATTATAATCGTTTCAGGAAGCATTTTAATCTTAAAAAATGTGAATAAGTAAATAACGTGGAATTCTAATTCTTGAACAAGTAAAAATGTTACGAAACATCATTTAAGTGATTTATTATTAGAAAATTAACTCAGCAGTCGATTAACAGAAAGCAAGGTCATAATTTTCCAGAATTACGTTATTATTCTCGACATTATTATTGTAAATTTATTTATTGTAAATTTCTTATTTCTTTACTTCGAATCTGATATGCGCACCACTGGCACATCATTAAATATACCCGCAGACGAGTCATTTTCGAATCGAGGGGAACAGTGTTTGACGAAGAGGGACCGGCGACATTAACGAGAATTAACGTTAATTGACATCCCTCCCCCTTATCTTATCCCACGACTGGCTCTCCCTCTTTTTGCCGTCTCTCGTTTTTTCGCGTCTTTGCTACCACCAACGCCGAAAGAGCCAGCCATCCCGTTTACAGGGTGTCCTCTTATAAAATGGCTAATAAACGGAAAATAAACTTTAGAAACCTTTTTTTCAAGAATTGCAAAATGCTATATTTGGACCATTTTATGTGTATGAAGGAAGGAGGGTCAGATGTATTTGCGCGTGTTGCGCGCGTGCGCGCACACGTGTGTGTATGTGTGTGCGCGTACGTGTGTGTGTGTGTGTGCGTGAATGTTCGACGACATTTCTAATCCTTTCTGGCGAGTGATTAAAACTTAATCCGTGCGACGTTAAAAAATAATAATGAACGACACAACATGCACTGCTGTATTAATCCGTTCACTGTCATCAGTAAAAATTAAAACTACAAAGAGAACACAAATATTTATATTTGCTTCATAATCTGTATAGTTTGTATATTTTCTCGTAATTTGTATATTGTTTGTATATTTTTTCGTAATTTTTTTAATCTTCTAATCTTTTGATTCTTTCTCGTAATAATATTATTATATCACACATTAGTCTTACTACATATTTTTTTATTTCAGTTATGCGTGTATATGGGAATTATAAGTTCCATTAGGTCACCTATATTCTATCGTTTTTATCAATAATTTTTAATTTCAACTTCTTCATTCCTGCATTTTTAGACAATCTATGCAGCTTTAATACATAATCCAGTTGCTGTTTCGTTCTTATGTTAAACTGTGAATGAATAGACCGTTAGAAATGAGAAATGCATGCCGAACAGAGTGAGAGAAGAAGAGAGAGAAAGAGACGCAGAGAAATCAAAGATTCGATTGTACCTTCTCTCTCTTCACTCTCTTCCAGCTTTCGTCTTTGCAATATTATTCGGGTTCCGAGCTTGTTCTACTTTTTTTTACGTCGTACGGCAACGTATAATGCTCACATACATGTAGAAAATTTTAAATCTTATTCCGAACACTTATCATTGTTTATCATGTTAGATAATTTTAATAATTCAATAACACAAAACAAAATTCAATAACACAAAAAACCAGGAATAAAATTGAAACTATAAATTATTATTCGGATTATGCTCTCATTGTGAAACAAATTAATATTAACAATTCACTTAACAATTTAATTAACAATTTATCCTTATATTTTATATATAAATATACATGTATTTATGTGATATATTTATATTAAAGATAGTATGAAACATCAAGTTAATAAGATAATGTGATAGTCACAATGATAACGTGATAACGCGCAACAGGTCCGACATCTCTGAAAGCAGATCGGTAAGGGTGAAAGAGAAAAAGAAGAATGACGGACGAAGAAAAGGGGACGCGGGAGAGCAGTGAATGTAAGGGGATTTGTGCGATACAGTGGGCGACTTTAATGATTTCTCGAGGTTGTTTCAATAGAGTACGACTGTCCGCCGTTGCATCACCGCTATGTACCGGGTGTACAGGATTATTCTAATTATACTTTTTTTTCATTAATAAATAAGCTATTGTTTTTCGTGCTCTTCACGAATACGATCCTAATTTTTTTTTTCATTATTCTTTTACATCTTGTTTCATAAATCTTGTGCTTTTTAAACTTTATATATATATATATATATTTCTTTTTATCCTGTTTTTATCCTATTGGTTTTTATATAATATATTTCATTTCATTTTTTTATACTTTGTTTATAAAATTATGTTTTATCTTATATTTTATTTGCAGAAGGAACACTTATTAAGGAATGATCCTTCCATGAATGCATTAGGAGAAGAATCGAGAATGTCCTGTCCTGTTCCTAAGTACTAGTGCCGCAGGAGTGATTAGGCTGGGCAAGACGTTACCGTATCTCCTGCTGCTCAAGTGCTTATCAACGGGTCTGGACGGCTGTCAACTTATTCCTATTTCGGAGATCACGATTTCGAAAGAGATAAAAGCTTCAGAAATGCGTCTTTTGTTTCGTTTTAATTTTATATAAGAAGCACTGTAAAATATATTTAATAAAACGCATGTAATTTTTTTCACACATTTTATAGCATTTTTTAGTACAATAATATAATATAATATAATAAAAATTATAAATGTTACAACGATCTATCTATAGGTAGAAATAGTTAAATTTATTTTAGAAATGTTTTTAATTAAAAAAATCTGCAAACATATTTTTTGAGTATGGTGAAGATAAAAATAAATGTATTATTATTTATGTTGCGTACTTTTGTTATAAGAATATGTTTTATGACGATAATTATTTTATCTGTGGCAAGTAAAATTGATATTATGATTAATAAATTACCTTCAATTTACACCAGTCAAACTTGAGTTTAGCATTATACTAACAATAAATTTTCTATATTTCTTTATATTGTTTATAACGTCTATTGTAGTTCTTATGACGTTTCGCATATAATTGGACACGATATGAAAATATATACTTCGCAACTGTTGTAAAATTCATAAATCTGATAGGTGTATGCTCTTAATCTTGGTTAAATCTAATTATAGAGCATATACCAATCAGATTCACGAATTTTGCAAAACTGCTTTCTCTGTTGAACGTAGTCAATAAGTCAAGAAGGTTGTGACACTTTTTTTTCCAAGTTTTAGAACGCATCCAGTGTCTAATAAAAGAATTCGATTTTTAGTAATTCTCAGGATATACATTTTCCTATTGGATATGAGATGCGTTGCGAAACTCGTTGAAGAAAAGTGTCGCAACCGTTTATGAGTGATTGATATAGTGGATAGGAAGGTCGTGTCATTTTCGTTTTGATAAGTTTCGGAGTGAATCCCAAATGGAGAAGTGTCCAATAAGAGAATTTGTTTCTTTATTATTATCAGGATATACATTTTTTCATCGAATATGAGACCAGTTGTGAAATTCATAAAAAGAAGTGTTACAACTTTCCTGTTCACGACTTATCATAGGTCGGTATTCATAATCGGATCGTAAATATAAAGGCGTAATCACAATACGGGTTAGAATTGAAGTTGGATAAAAAATTGACCAATCACAACAAAGTTTACTAAACTCAAGTTTAATCTCTAGTGTAATAACTCCTTAAACCGTATTAAGTTTATTTCCAGATACTATCAGCTCATTTTATTGGCTACGAAGCATCTAAAGATGCAATGAATTTAAGACAACTTAAATATAAGATCTGACTGTAAATATCGGCCACAGGCAAGGGATCGATCGTGTATCTTGAAACGAGATGAAAATTGCAAAGTGAAAAGAGTCACATAGATGTTGACCAATGAATTTGTAAATATTCTAGTAAATTTGCTCAATTTTATAAAATCTGTTTTCTGTTTCTGCACTGGCTGCATTAGTTGTCTTTTCATCTCTTGGTCTGTTCTTTTTAGCTGCACTGTTGAACTGGTGCAATAAGTTAGAGAAAGATAAAATCTACTTATCTCACTCTAACTTATTGCACCAATTTAGTAGTTTGCAACTAAAAAGAACAGATCATCTTTCTTGAGATTTAATGGAAAAAAAGGAAAATAAAACTAGTGCAAACCAATGCAGGAATAAATAAAAAAACTTACATAATAGAACATATATTAAGAATAAAGATAAATATTAAATATTGGGAATAGGAATTAGGAATTATTCTCATACAACGGAATAAAATGAACGACTGTATGATACAATTGCTATATTTTCTGTCACTACCTGTGGTTTTTCATTGTGCACAGGCCTTTAGACATACGTATTGTTTTGGGACGCCTTTCATGTTCCAGTTCCCCTTCAAAAATTTCCCTCCACGGTTACGTACGTTTCGTACGCATGCGCGAACGAGAGAGAACGCAAGGCACAGAACAGAGTGCATTCCTTTCTACGTGCACCTCGATCTCCACTCTTCGACGCTCGTTCCAGATATATCACGTCTACGGTTCACTCATTACGCGCGCACTTTCCTCTCTCCGTCCGCCAATCCCACTGCTCGAGTCGCTTCTAGAGGAAATCGGTGGCACAGATGGCGCCCGCGTTAGTTACCGCGACGGAGGAAATTGGGCGGCGCTGAGTCGTGTGTGTGTGTGGCGGACGCGGGGCACACACATCCGGGGATGCTCCGTGAACGCAGCGTTGGTGGCGTCGTATACTCTTCCGTTCGCCCAGAGACCTGCATGCCTGTCTGCCTGGTGCCTGGATTATCTGTGTGTGTGACATTTTTTTCTTCGGAAGTGCCGACTGACTGACCACCGAGTTCGCTACCATCAACGTGCAGGATGTTTACCCGGCTGGCTGGCCGCCGTCACCACCGCGCCCAGCAGCAGCCCGTCGTCACCGCCGCCGTCGTCGTCGTCGCTGACTCTGCTGCCGCGCGCGCGCCCGCCATGAGAATCGTCGCGTCGCTGCTGCCTTATCACTGACTTGTCGTTGCCGCCGTCGTTAGGTACGTGGCCCGCGCGCAACCCCCAAAACCGCGCGCTCCGGCCTTCGTGCGTCTGTTTACGTGTCATAGCGAGTGTACGTTCTACCCTTCAACGTCGTCCTGATCGTCGCCGTCGGCGATATCGTCCCTCCCCCCTTCCTATCTCTCGCGCTTTTCTCTCCCCGAAGAGGCCTATGGGTCCTCTGACTCTCCTCAACGTCGTCTCTCCTTCCTCCGAGGGAAGGGATTGTTCTAGAACTTCCAAATAATTGTGATTGGTCCTTATCTGATTCCTAATATGATTTCAAAGGAGATTAGGGATCTGTTTCTGGACTGGACCTTCCAGACTCTCTTGTATCTAAGTAGGACTTTTTGCATTGACTATATGAGCCGTCGTGGAAAATATCGTGTGATTAGTGTGTTACACAGCTCAGAGTCGGTTTAGTGTCTCAGTTCCAGAGAAATATACTTTATGTTTAGAACATTGTATAGTTCAGATTGGTTCGGCAAAGTTTCTTGTATCTGTCTAGAAGTATGTCTCATGACTGAAACAGTGCGGTTCAATTAATTTGACGATTTAATTTTTATAAGTGCCAGGATTTTGCTTTAACACTGTTGTATCAAATGACATTTGCATCATATTTCAGCAGGTCAAACCGATTCGTCCGAAAAGTGCCATGGATGATGAAGAGCGCCTCGAAGGTGAGGAGGAAATGGAACTGGACGAAGCTTCCGATGGCGAGGACGAGGACGAGGAGACCACGGGCATTCCTGTGTCACCAGCTAATTCCGAACAATTGCTGGGACAAACTCCAACTCCTGGTAATAATTAATAATTTTATTCAAAATTATCATTGTTATTGTTTGGAAAAATAATAGGTAGAGCAAAGTCCTATATCATATAATTATAAAAATGATAAAAATAATTTAAATTAGAGGAATTAATTAATTATTTTTTTCCTTTCTAGTCACACCAGAAGAAGGTTTTCCCGATCCACTACGGTACCAGAAATTTCCTTTAACTGGGGGCAAACCTCTAAACATCCGACGTGGGCCTGGGAGGCCTAGAAAAGAACGTCCTCTGGGGATCACTCGCGGAGGTGGCACGAGAAGATCTTTCGGCAGAGGTGGCGCGAGAGGCAAAGGGTTAGTTTACTACTTTTTATAATAATACTTCTTACAATATATGAATTTATGTACATATACAATAATATGCAATATAAATTATACAAAAGAAATAACGTTATTAAGTTATAATTTAGAAGTTCATTAGTTTTAATATCATATCAATATTAAAAGTAAAAGAGAACAATGATTGTGTGTTAGGATGTGTGTGCGTATGTGAAAATTTTAGTTCTTCTTTTTCGCAAATTTTCCTTTTTTTTTTTATAGTCGAAAAATTAAAATTTTTGCACACGTCTAATGTCCTGTTTTCGTTTATGAAAGCGTATATTTTGAGAATTTATATTAAAGAATCCAACAAATATACACCTAATATATTCTACTATCATTTCATCTTGTACAGATTGGGCTATGCAAGAGGCGTGCCGCGTCGTACTAAAAGTAAGGATGAGGATACACATTCAGAATCACCGAGCCCTCTACGCACCGGGGACGATGCTGCCCCTGATGGCGAGTCGAGCGCCGAAAGATCAATGCCGGCTCCTGAAGAACTTCCATACTTTTCTGAACAATGGTATATTCCTCCTATAGAATCAAATATATTAATAATTTATGATACAATACAGCAAAATTATACTAGTACTAGCAATGAAAGGTTCATCACGAAGGGATAAAATAAACTCTCAAAGTCTCACATTAATATACATAAGTAAGAAGAAAAAAGGGAAATAAAGAGAAAAACTATTTTTCATCTATAGGCCAGGGAAAGTTTGCGCGTTGTGCAACCTGGGCGAAAGAAGTCAATTGGGACAAGGGGAGTTTCTACGGTTATCGTGTCCGCCAGGCTTTACGCCGGAGAAACCAGCGAATCGAGAGGAGAGCACCGCTGCTGAACTTCATCTTACGGACATCGCCGCTGCTGGAGACAAGAGTCCGCGCGCTGCCACTGCCGGAGCTGGAGCCGTTACGTGTCGCCGGCAGAAGAGTTTAGCTAAGTGCAGGTACATGTTACTTTTATTATCACATATTGTTCCATAGGTCTCTTCCGAGATACACGTATCTATCTATTGCTCTGCTTATTTCAGGAATACTAGTCTGTCGAATTTTTCGGAGCCAGTGGAGGAACTAACGATCGTAGGCTACTCGGAAGAACCGGAGCTGGGTGCACTTTTCGAGACGACGGGTCACTACTACGTTCACCAGTCGTGCATGGTCTGGTCCAGCAACAGTCAAGACCTGGCGTCAGAATTGACCAGCCGTGCCGTCGTGACGGCTTCGTCACGACGTTGCGCTTATTGCTCTCACTACGGCGCCGGAATCCCTTGCAAAGTAAGTCACATTCAAGCAATTCTCTTTTGAATTAAGAATTCTTTATAATACATATTTATTGTTGCATATCATTTTTTTATTTATCACTTATTCGTGAATATGTAGTGTTTATCATTATTATTCTGATTCTGCGTGAAAATAGAGAAATCACTATAGATAAATTATTGAGAAGACATCGCTGGTTGATCAGAACGATCAGATTATACTTTCCTTTATACTTATTGTGATAATTTTATGCGCATTCCTGAATAATAAGGGACCCAGTCGTAAAATAAATGACGATATTCAACAGGTGGCATCGTGCAATCGTTATTTTCATTTCCCGTGTGCCGCAGCCTCCAGTTGCTTTCAGGACACCAAGAGCTTGTCTCTTTTCTGCGGTCAGCATCTAGGCCAAGTTCCGCTTTTGCGTAAGTTTTACAGTTTTAAAATTTCTCGATGTTAATTTTGTGTTGTAGAATCCAAAATTCCTGTACAAAATTATAATATGCGACTAAAATTGAGAGAGAATGCTGAACTTGATGATTGCTTAAAGTATTTCTAATATGATAACGACAAATGTCTGAAGAAGTTGCGAGTCTTTCGAACCTGTCAGACTCGCACTGAGGAAACTATCACACTTGACTGTGCAGTGAACGGGGATGTAACTTGCGTGCAATGCTATGGAATGGGCGACGTGTCGAATCTGGTCATGTGTTCCATCTGCGGCCAACATTATCACGGCAGTTGCGTGGGACTGGCATTGTTACCCGGAGTGCGCGCCGGTTGGCAGTGCGTTACCTGTCGCGTGTGTCAAATGTGTAGACAACCCGAGGACGTCTCCAAGGTCAGAGAAATCCTTTCGTCCACGGATGACGCGATTTCCTTCTCTCGTTTCCAATATAAGTTGAAACTTCTAACAATCTTATTCGCGACGACAGGTGATGTTGTGTGAGCGCTGCGACAAAGCTTACCATCCCGGCTGCTTGCGTCCAGCTGTAACGTCCATTCCGAAGTATGGCTGGAAGTGTAAGTGTTGTCGCGTGTGCACCGACTGCGGTTCTCGCACTCCTGGCGCGGGTCTCTCCTCCAGGTGGCATTCTCACTATACGGTGTGTGACTCGTGTTACCAACAACGAAACAAAGGCTTCTCCTGCCCGCTCTGCAGAAAAGCGTACAGGTAACGAAGACGACGTTCAGCGCGTTACGCTTATAATTACAATCACTCGGAGTTGCCACAGATCGGGAAAACCGGAAAAAAATCGTGGAAATTTATAAATTGATCAAGGAAAACCTGGAAAAGTCAGGGGAAAATATAAGAGTCTGGAATTTTGAATTTTGTTTATAATTCTCTTAAATGTTCTTATTTTAAAGAGTATTCTTATATATTATTTTTATTTTATAGTTTAACATTTACAGTAAAGAATTGCGTTCAAAACTCGTGCACTTTACACTTTTTACGTGTTAAGGCCGTGATACGTAGAAAAACTTAAGCTCTAGGCGTAAACAGTAAGAAAAGTGACCAGTCACAGTCGGTTATTTTTTGGTTGTAAAAAGAATAATCGAATGTGACTGATCAATTTTATTCAACGTTTTTATTCAATCGTCATTTTCCGTCATAATTACATTCTTTTTTCCAATACTCATTCATTTTTTGTTGACCTGAATTTGCATTCAAGATTTCTACCTTGCAATCTGTGCCTCTAAATATTAAAGTTTAAATTTACATATTGGTCATAAAAAAAATCTCCACTTGTCTGGAAAAGTCGGGGAATTTAAAGATTAATTTTCTGTGATAACTTTGATCATTCTATCACGATACCAACATAGAGATAATAGTCTTGAATCAATGATAGATATTCTCACATATCAAGAATATTTTAATATTCCCGGAAGAATTTTAATGCTAATCTTGAATTAAGTGTGAGTAATACTTGCATCGATACAAATTCAGGCAAATCAAGACTTCTAAGAAGATCTTCTAAGAAGATTATAACATTCTTGCTCACTTATACGGGAACATTTATTCTTGATTTAATACCAATTTCTTTTTCTTTTCTGTATATTAAAAAAATATCATATGTTATTATTATTATACAACATAATTTCACACTCAAACATAATATTATTACCGCAGGGCCGCGGCATATCGCGAGATGGTGCAGTGCAACATATGTAAGAAATTCGTGCACGGTACGTGCGACTCGGAGGCCGACCCGGCCGTGTACCAACAGCGCAAGGAGGCTAAGCCGGACTACGAGTACGTGTGTCTGCATTGTAAGAAGAGCGTGGCGGCCTTCGTGCGTCGCAAAGACAGCATGGACGAATGTGGCGGCGCCGTCGTCGGCAGTGACCAAAGCACTTCGCAGGATAATCTCTTTTACGGAGGTGCTCCTCGCAGTCCACGGAGCGAGAGCTCGGAGCTCGACTGCCAAGGCGGTGGCGCCGACGAAGCGCTCTACTCGGTCGGTCTCGGAAAGGGCAAACCTTATTACGCTAACAAAATCGCCAAGAAGAGACTGGGCCTCGGTTTGGGACTGGGAGGCAGCGGCGGCTGTGTCGGTAGGCCCAAGGGCGTCGGCAAGCTTGGTTACCAAAAGCGCCAAAAAATGACCGAATTTGGGAGGAAGAGGGGACCCAAAGCGAAGATGAGGGGCATTTTTGGCGTTCCTGGAGTCGGTTTGCAAGTAAGTTTTTATGTAATGTCTTGATAGATTTTTTGCCGATTACACCGAGCTATATTCGATCGATAACTGATCTCAGTTCACTTTTTTTTTTATTTAAACAGGAAGTTTACCATTTGGTTTATAAATAAATATAAAAAACGGAGAAAAAGAAAGAAATACGGAAAAAAATCGATAAAAATTTAGGCTTCGATATAAAGAATAAATAAGTAGTCGCAGAAAAGAAATTTAATCAATGAAATTCAAAATGAGAGGGCATAAGTCAGGCAATGTCTGGAGGCACTGATCAAGTTACGAAACATGGAATGCGAAAACTCATTAACTAACATGCAAATCCGGTTAATTTAGTTGAAATTTTCGTAATTTGTGCGGCGATATTCAATGTAAGAGACATTGCCTGAACGGGTCACTCTAGATAGCACATGTGAATAGAAAGCTTGAAGAATTTCGGGACAAATTATTTTATGATTAGTCGCACTAAATATAAAAAAATAATAATATAAAAAGCAAAGGGAAAACTTACTAATTGTATAAACCAATTGCTAATTTCGAAATAAATTAGCAAATATTTTCACTATTTCAGCGTCCGATGTCGGACTCTTTCTCGAAGGAGGACGAGCCCGGGGTGGAGAACCGTTTGGTCCTCTGTTCGGCCAAAGACAAGTTCGTGTTGACGCAGGACATATGCGTGATGTGCGGCGCGATTGGCACCGATCAGGAGGGTTGTCTGATCGCGTGTGCACAATGCGGTCAATGCTACCATCCATACTGCGCCAATGTTAAGGTCACGAAAGTGATCCTGCAGAAGGGCTGGCGTTGCCTCGATTGTACCGTTTGCGAAGGTGCTTCTTTGATAAATAAATCTGTCCCTTTAGGATGGCTTTACAATAGATGTGATAACACAATATCTAAAATTGAGACACAAGACGTCTCAAAGTTATCTTTAAGATGTTTTAAAAATGTTTTGAAGACGTCTCGTGTGTCGTAATTTTAGACATTTTACTGGGCAAAAGCCTTTAGTTCTAGATAGTGAATCGTAATTTCCAGCATTATCAGACGTCATCGTAATTCCGAAAATTTAAGACTCGTCCACAATGTGGTCGCTGGCAGATCGTAAAATCATAAAATCACCAACTTTCATGTCGGTATATTTTCAATTTCAGCGACTGGATTGGCCGTAGTCGTTGGAATTGGAAGCGAACCGACTAGAACGACTGCGGCTGCATTGTAGATAAGCCTTCAAGCGTTATTATGACTTTTGACAGCGCGGGAAACGAATTTTTGTCGGAAATTATGTCACATTTTATTACTTAGAGCAAAAGACTAAAGGCTTACTACATCTAACTTAGATCCGAACTTATACAAATTATATATTAAATTAACCATTAATTTATTTTAATATAATTAATCTTTTAATTAAATTATTTTAATTTATTTATTCCACTTAGCTTTCTTTAAAATTGCAAAGTTGTGTTGCTTTAAAAAGTAATATGCTTGTTCTAATTTTCTTATCTCCTATGATAGGAACTGAAGAAATAAAATTACTAAGGAATAAATTACTAGTATTAAAATTAAAATAAGATTTAAATATCAGTCTGTATTTTTTTTTCGATCACACTCAGTAGTATTCTCAGTAGTATACGTTACTTTTTATGCATTGCGAATCATTACATTAGTATGTGTGGAAAGCTTCGTACGGATCAATTTTTCTGCAAACCGTACGAATCTTTCGATGTGCTCGACAAATTACGATCTCTTTTCTCACGCAGGTTGCGGAGAACGAAACGACGAGGCACGGCTGATTCTGTGCGACGACTGTGACATCAGCTACCATATCTACTGCATGGATCCACCGTTGGAATACGTGCCCCACGGGAACTGGAAGTGCAAATGGTGTGCCCAGTGCCAGACGTGCGGTTCCAACGATCCAGGTTTCAACAGTTCCTGGCAGAAGAGCTACACCCAATGCGGTCCATGCGCCTCTCATAGTGCGTGCGTTGCCTGCCAGGAGGCTTACCAGGAGGGCGACCTTATCATTCAGTGCGTGCAGTGCGAGCGCTGGTTACACTGCGTCTGCGATTCCATCAAGAGCGAAGCGGAAGCCGAACGATGCGCCGAAGAGGGATACATCTGTCTCCTCTGCCGTCCGAGAGACGTGCCGCCGCCTCACATTCTCTGTGCACAGCCTAAGATCCAGCCAAAGTATACCAGGTCTGGAGAAAGAAAACTATTTCATTGTAACATCTTCGATTTTATATTTATTAATTATGTATAAGTTCAGTTTCTGTCAATTTGAGTCGTGAACCACCGTTGATACCAAGGTTAATAGTAATAGTTGTTACCTGAAACTTTTCTGACATGAAATACTCGTATCTGAATTTAGAGTTAGATTTGAACCTCTCATTTGAATCGTAACACGTTACATTTGCAATTGCGATTCGACTGAAGAACTCACATTTAATTTTAAGCTCTCAAGCCTTAATATCTCACTTGAAGCATGTTTTAAATAACAATTATCAATAAGTCCTAAAAGATACCTTTTGAAATAGATTACTCCCGAAGTCTCATCAATTTCATATTGAAAAATGATAATAAAATTACGTCCTTATGTTTAATTTAGTTTTTTTTTTTTTTTTATGATCGAGTTTAAAACATATATTTTATATACGTGTATATATTATGTATATATCAGATCCTCTCCGCCACCCGCAACTCAAAGTCCGGAGCTCTTCAAACCCTCCACTCAGCCGCATTTGGTCGACGGAGTCTATCTCTCCGACGCTGGGATGAATCACATTAAATCCCTGACGTCGGAACATCAGCAAACGCGAAAGAAAAGAAGGAAATTGTTGCCATTAGTAGACAAAGAGGCCGACATCATGGCGACAATCGAATCCGTCGTTGCTGGGGGTAGTCTGGACAATTCTTTAGAGGGAGAGGGTGGCAAATTGGAACTAGTGGACGTAAAAGATGAGCCCGCCGAAGTGAAAGAAGGCACCGTGTGGACCGCTGACCAGCCACCTCCGGAAGGCTTCAGCGTCTGCACATCGGAAGCGGGTCTCCCGGTATTGCGGCGGAAGCGTCAACGGAACTTGCAAAAGTTGGGTATTGGGGGTTTCAACGCGCGTTTCCGCACCCGGAAGGACAAAGAGGAAGAGGGCGTCGACCTCGAAAAGCAAGGGGAGGCCTGGATTCTTATTCTCAGATCGGGAGAATCGGAGAAACCAGGCGGCCCGGTGCTAGAATCCTCGATTGTTGGAGGAGTGGGCGACGACAAACCCCGCCGGAAGCCCCAACGTCGGAAACCGAAACCCAAGTTAGCCGAATGCTTCCCTCTTTATATGCAGGAGGCCTTCTTCGGCAAGGATCTAATGGACACCACGAAAGACAAAGAACTGGAGAGCAGCAGTGAGTCCGAGAGCGAGCGTAATGTTCCTGGAAACGCTGATACCATTCAATTATCTCAGGACGAGCTCAAGGCGATGGAGCAAGTGAAAGCCAAGCAGGAGAAGGAGGACGACCAGAAGGTGGTGGTCCCCGAGCAAATTAAGAGAGAAGAGATCATGGAGGATGAAGGAAGTGACACAGAAGCGCTCGGGGATATTTTGCCGATATCGGGAGACCTGCTGGATAGCGACCTGGTGAATACCATCATGAACGAGCCGGATGAGGATTTGGCCAAGGCTAGCGAGGCGTTGGACGAGTTGGATGACGCGCAAGCGCCCAGCAAGGACGAGCTGACGGATATTCTGAGTCCGCATTTCACTCTGGAATCGATGGTCAGGGACACCGGTAAGTCTTTCTGAACGAGTATTTCTGAGAGAGTACACGACGGGGTCACTCCATCTTGAGTACGATTATGAATTTTCTGGTGTTACTCGACCATATAAAATGATTTAATTCTACGTGGGTCTCAAATTTGAATTTTTTTTACAGCTTAGTATCGTATAAACCCTGACTTTAGACAAAAATTAAATCTTTCATAATTAGACGTTTGGTTTGAATATTAATCGATTTCATGAAACTGGATATTCCAATCGATTATTTTTCTTTCAGGACTGCCAAACATGGACAGCAAAGACATCGAGGAGATCTTTAAAGGTGTGTTAACAGACGAGTCCCAAGAGTCCCAAGAGTCATCAGTGTTTTCCGTTCAGGCTCAGGCCTCGCATCCTTCGTCGTCCACCACTCCGTTGGTGTCACCATCTCCTCATCCTGGTGAGTGCAAATTATATTTTTCCTCTTGATTATGTTCACGCGTATTTTATCGTTTCATGTGGTATTTTTGTGAAACAAGACATACAAACGCTGCGACAATTATTCACCACAATGTAAATCGCAATTACCATTTAACAAAGCAATTTTCCATCATGTTATAATCTCAGTTTCAATTTCCAATACGTAGTCTATTGTTTCAAAAAATTATGATCTTTGGACCATAATAATGAATTTAGAAAAAGATATTTTTTTAATAATACTCTTACGTATAGGTATTCCAACGGCAATGCCTTTGGTAAGACCCCAAGTGCCTGGTACTTTATCCTCTGTAGGACAATCAAATCTTAATTCGCCCATGAGTTTCCCACCGCCTTCTCCGTATCATTCTGAATATAGCAAGTAAGTACCGACATTATAATCAATCGAAAGTACAATAAAAATCCAATTTAAAATTTCTATTAAAATCTCTATAATTAATACGCAAAATGCTCACTGCAACTTAAATCGAAACTTTTAATAGAATTTTACAATTGCCTCATGGTGGCTCGGATTTATTTATCATTCTTAAAAGTATTGTTAAAAGTAAGATCTATATAATTAATAGTAATATATTAAATAAAAAATATCTAATAATCGGTAATAATTATATTTAATATATTTGTCTTAAATGTTAATTTTTATGTTTGAAATTATGTCCTTAGTATAGTTATCTTTAAAATCATTCATGTGGCGTTTTCGTAGTAGTCCACAATTCAGTCCTGCGTTTTCCGAACCGCCCAGTCCGTGGGTGAATCCCGAGGATGAAGGCAATGGTCCTGCGAGCAATGCTACTATCTCGTATAACCAAAGAAGCAACCTGAAGTTGGAAGCCGACGAGGCGTTGGGCGCAAACGCAACTATATCATCCGTGCTCTACGCCAATCTCAATCATCCCGAGTGGAAAACCGAGTATCCCGCCTGGTCCGAGAGGTGTAAGCAGATCTTGAAGAAGTGGCGAGCTCTACCAACTGACAAAAAGGCTCCATACCTTACTCAGGCTCGCGATAATCGTGCTGCTATCCGCATGAAGAAAACGCAACAGGTAATCAGACTGTCTTACGAAGTAGTAGAAAAAGACAAAAAGAAATGTGCGGACTAGGTGTATACAAAGTGTCTCGAAACTGTCGCACTTCCATTCTCATGTCAAGTCTGAAGTTGTCGTCGTATTTTAAAACAGAAAGAACATTGTATGTAGATGCTAAATAATCCTATGTAATTTTTTCGCGACTTTCTTCCTTTTTTTCTTATATTTTTAAGATTGTGAGAAAACAAATTGAAAAGTGAAAAGTGCGACGTTCGGGACATTTTCGTATCTCCAGAGACGTTCATGGGGTTTCGTCCTCGATCGTGTCTTGTGCTAACACGTAAGTGAGACTAACAGCTCGACCTCTGTGTGTCGCAAATCACGTACCCATTGTGAACTTCAGGCTATTTTTACAGTGATCGAGAGAGAAAAAATTTATTATCAAATTTAAAAAATTCGAAGTTTATTCAAAAATTATTACTAACACATTCATCATTAATTACTCATACAAATTTGACGTTCGTTTAAATTAGCTAAGCGGCAGTAAAGCTGTACCATTTTATTTTAATTATTTATTATAATGCAATAATTAATTTAAAATGTGTGTGATATCTTCACGTGATGTCTTTCGCGAAGATAGTTTAAACGAAATGTTTGTGTGGCAGAATTATTATCACAGTTAGGATTTTATAGTAGATCCGAATTGTATCTGAATGCGAGGGAAAATAATTTTAAATATATGTATATAAACACAATATTATAATGAGTTGAATATATAAATAGTTCCGTCGCCCATTTCACTTCTATCAGATTTACAAGTACGAATTGCACTGTACATGGACGATGAAATCTGTTGTTTATAATGCCAGAAATATTTGCACTCACGAGCGAGAATAAGTAAAAGTCCCACAGTTGGAAATTTTTGATCGCATCTCTCATATAAATTTTATTGTAAGCTAGTAATATTGTAATTAGTAGTATAATAAGTCCTATTCAAGCTCAAATTTATACAAGATTGAGCGTGAATGGGCCTTTCATATAGTGGGTCTAAATGAGGTGAAGAGGGACGGTTCACATGGACTCACTCTACATTCCCGATCTTTAGAAAAAAAAAGAGTAGTTGAATTTATAGAATTTGTCATAAAAAGATTCATAGATACGTGTGTTTAAAGAAGGAAGTAATCACACAAATCTCATTTGTAAGTCTAATCTTCATGAATCAGATACATAGACCCGTATCATCTATCGCTTTTTTTCAATTATATTTATGATTTTTTTTATTAATCCAGTTCAATTTAAAATGAATTGTGAGGACTTCTGTGAGGAATTGTGAGGATTTTTTTTAATTCATAGAGAAATGTAAACAATGCATAAATTTATAGATTCGTAAATGTATAAACGGACCCCCTCCCCCGCTACTTTCTCTGACTTCTTTTTCTCAAATCAGCCTTACGTGTGTACAGTAATTAAAAACATATCTACATGAAGCATCTAGAGTACACAAAGTAGACCCACAGATTTGCGAGTCCGTAGACCCGTACGAATATCCATATAGATCCCATCTTTATATTTTACGTCTCTCTCTCTCTCTCTCTCTCTCTCTCTCTCTCTCTCTCTCTCTTTCTCACAATTACGTGGAACTGAATGTATCACATGTGTGTGCTAACGATCGACTCATCGTTTCTCAATGCGCGTCCCGTCTCGCCTCATTCGGGCCCATTATACCATTCTTCGCGTACAGGGTGTTTCTCGTGAAGTTACCCGACCCGGTGCACATCAAAAGGACGCGCATTACATTACATTTGTATTCTCGCTGATAAGCAATTATATCGAGTCTTTGTCAAAAAGAGGGAGGAGAGAACGACGTCTAGTCGTACGAGAGGCACCCTGTACGAACCGCGTCGTGTGAACGAGGACCACCACCAGCGGCCGCTGTTAACCCGACAGTTCTCCAAGGACATTTCACCGAGCACCACCACCACCACCACCACCACCACCACTACCACCAACATGACCACCACCACCACCACCACCACCACTACCACCACCACCACCACCACCACCACCACCACCATCACCACCACTACCACCACCAACAACCCCGCGACCGCATCCGGCGCCGCCAGCATCATGATGAGCAAACCCGTGGGCTCCCTGGGCCTCGCGAGACCTTTGCTAACGGCGCCCCTGCAGGAGAAGCAACAGCCGGCCGGGGTAGGGATGCTGATGACCAGCACGACACCGACGTCGTCGTCGGGGATGCCCAGCGGTAGTCAGCAACATCAGCAACATCAACAACATCAGGAGGTGTGTGGGGTGCAGGGAGCAGCGTCGAGGCAGCTAACAACTCCCACCCCCCCTTGCCCGTCGCCGCCAGAGAGCGCGAGACAGGCCCAGTCGTCGTCGACCTCTTCACCTCCGTCCCGTTCCTCCTCCTCTCATTGTAGAGACCCAGGTGAAGGGCAGCCACCACAACCACCGCCACCTCCACCTCCACCTCCACCGCCTCCTCAACATCAGCAACAACGTTCGGTAGCGGTGCCCGCCGCGATTGTTAACGCTGGTGACCAGCAGATCCGAGTGCTCACCCCGTCCGAGATCATGCGCACTCTCCCGTCCCTCAGCCAAGAGCATTATGACCCGCCGTTGCCGCCACCCCCACCGCCCACCGCGATTGTTCACACTGTCGTTGTACCACCGCCCCTCACCCCCGTACACCATCACCACCACCACCACCACCACCACCATCACCACCAACACCACCACCCGAGTAACGCCATGGTGAGAGCCAACTTTTGCCCGCCGAACTCTGTTAGTGTCTTCTTCTACTTCGTTCTGCCTCTTTCTGTGCCCGATGATGTCTGATCGAGACTTAGTATTCCTCCTGTATGTCGACGGCAACAATGACAAACTGTCGTGGTAACTTCGTTTTTTTTTTTTTTTTCAGTCTACTTCTCGTTTTTTCGAGCTATATTCTACGTTGTCGTTCTAGTAGTGTGCGCGCCGATAGAGTATCGGCGATCCTAATAACAGCTGTAACTGCAGCAGCAATAACGATNACGATATATGTATATATATTTTTTTTTTTTTTTTTTTTTTTTTTTATCACTTTGTTTCTCTGTTACAATTATCTGTGAGAAACGAGGAAACCCAGCGGGAAGGAAATACGCAAACACGGTTTGCCGGAAAGTTACGGTTTTGCAATTACGATACTTTTTATTGGCGCCGTTGATATGTACAGGATGCCTCGCTGTATTAGCGCATCGACGCTCGATGGCAAATATCTGATTTTTATACGTTTTAATTTCTTCTATATAAATATTTTATTATCATTCAAGTCAGTATGTATTGAGTATTCATAGTAGAGAATATATTTGAGTACCCTTTATTTAAATTAGTAGAATTGATATTGTTGATTCTAATTCCAGTCTCTCTCTCTCTTTCTCTCTCAATTTGAATTAGCGCGAATGATTTTGTTTGGAATGATCAGACATTTTTGTATCTCTTCGTCTTCCTCGATTTTAATTTATTTGAATATAAAATATATTATTTTTACCTTCTGTGCGTTAGATCGCCTCTGTGACGGAAATTATTGTGGTAGCATTATATATATATATATATATATATATTTTTTTTTTTTAACTTAAACATTTCCATGGCATGTTCAAGGATGGTAGCACATCTTCTTTTACTTCCGTCATTTCTTCTGGTCCCTCATGATCCTAAATTATAAATCATTTTGTCCTTTGTCCTCTGGATCCGCCCGATATTGCTTACGATTGATTTATTTATCGTTGTTGTGGGTGATTGGTAGATTTGTATCGCAATATATATATATATATATATATATATATATATATATATACATATATATATCGTTGTATAGTGGTCATGCGCTAGTTTAGTACTAATATCATCATCGTTTTACTTTCCCTGCAAGAGAAAGGCAATTTTCTCTGCGCAATAATTGCATTTTACGAGTTACTGATACAATCGTTATATTTTCGTCAAGTTACTTATATCAATCATATGATCATTTATATTTATATATGCATTTATTATTTGATATTTATTCATATTTATTTTAATATCATTATATCCTTGTTATCGCTTCAATATTTATCTAATTCTTATATTGTTCTTAATATATTTATATCTTTCTATTGTAAATGAATAGACACGATATTATTTTTCGGACTTTTTTCTCGGAAATCAAATCAAGTCTCGTATATATTGCTTGCCTGTTTTACAGACAATGGTGTTTAAGTTTTAACATACCTCTTACTATTTATATTTATATGATTATAATTGTAATTTCTGTTACGTAATTGTTGGGATTATATTAACACTTTGACACATGCATGGGTGTGAGATTGTCGCATTAATCCCTCCGACGAACAGGTGTTTGTGGTGTTTTGTGTCATTTGTGTTGCGAACGAGAACTTTTTCAGGCGAGTGGAATATATTTATACACAATTATACTAATATTATTAATTGACTATTATTATCTTTCTACTATATCTAGATGGTGGCTGGTATTCATTGCTCCCAGTGTGTTTGCACATTCGAGATCTGCCAAATCTCGCTGATCATGATTAATTTAGCAGCGTGTTGTTACTTTTACGAGTGTTTATGCAAAATATACCCATTGTGCGCCATAAATCTAAAATCATATAATCGTATAAAAATGCAAAGATCACGAAAAGTTGAGATTTCAAACTACAGGTGACATTTTTAATATGTTTAAAATATTAATTCAGTCGTAAAAATTGGAAAGTTCACGGTATATATTTCGCAAAAATTACAAGAGAAAAATTACGTGCACTAGAGTTCATTAAAGACACCTGAAGAGAACTAGAAAATAAAGATAATTAAGATCGTTTAGATCGTCGTCGTTACAGACTGTAATATTACTGTAATCGTTACAGACTGTATAATTTTAGTATTCAGTCCCCGGTTTCTCATGCAACAAAGTTTATGTTTCTGTAACTACGAAACTATATAAACAATAAACGTCTAGATATGTTCCTATTTTTGTCGAGCTATCTCCAACACTTGGCCCACCTTGTGTACATGAGCATTCTTTATTGGCTGATTGTAATTATTGCCTCGTGTTGAACAGTGCTTTACGAAAAAAAAGGTCATTACATTTCACCAATGTTATTCACTCGTGTAACAATCATTTACCGTATAAAATATTTTCGTGAATTCTGGATATTAAATTTTGAGTTTCCCAGTTGAACTGAAACTTAACGGAAATAATAAAACTAATGAAAATAATGAAGTAATCTCTCGATCGAAATTGCGACAAAGTTTGGATGTGACTTAAAATTGAAAGTTAAAATTAACAATTAGTGACACAATTTATCAAAATTAGTTGGTCGCGTCGAGAAATGTAGTGACTTTTCCTAATAACTGTTTCGGGGCCTATACCGACTTGATCTTTAACAGGAGCAGGACAGGCTGTCGAACAGAGATCGGAGCAAAGAGGCTGAGCAGGAGAGGCAATGGAAGCAAATGCAGGCCGTACGTCAGCAACAGCAACAGATGCAACAACAGGTTATTCACGAGCAACGTGTACATGGTACGTCCTTTATATTATCATTATTAGATAGTATCATAAAATTCTTAATGTAAAAGACCCCGTAAAACTTAACCCCTTAAAAACCCCTTAAAGATTTATCTGAATTAAACTAAATTAAATTCCCTGGATGATATCTTTTCTCTTAATTAACAGCGATCGCAAGAGTGCAAAGACAAATCAGCGAGGAAGGCACGCCCCAATTGGCTCCAGATACCAATACCGGCGTGACGACTCAATTACAAGTTTCCACGGCACAAGTAAGTGCATTTCACGCGTAGTTACATCCTAATAATAAATTACAATTCATTATAAATCAATTAAAGATTTATGTAGGAAAGCCTGTATGTGAGCGAACGCTAGTTAGAAATGCGCAAATATAAATAGCAAACATTCAGGTTAATGAAGTTGTATTCAACAACTTCAATACGACTTGCTTGATATAACTTTATTAACCTGAATATTTGCTGTTTATATTTGCGCATTTCTAACTAGCGCCCGCTTTTATAGACCTTCCTATTACATATCTTAATTGATTTTTAATCTAAGAACGTTAATCTTTTTATACTACTCATTATCAGTTCAACGTCCTTCTTATATCGATTACAGTCCCGTAAAGAATAGAAAGTGTATCATTCGTATTTAAATACATCAACTGATATTTAACGAGGATCGTCGTTGCAGGACACAAGCCAGCTGACTCCATTGGCGTCCCCCTCGCCAGGCTCGCGCAGCACCTTTGCGACGCCACCCCTGAAGGTAACCCGCAGCAATCTCACCCCGCAGAGTCCGCATCAGGGTATGGTTCGCCTGCCCAATCAGGTCTGCCCTATCTCCCGAACCCCGGGGGTCGTGCGACCAGGTTTCCCGCAGCCACCGTCGCCTTTCTCGCCGCAGGCGCCCCAATCCCCCCATGACTTTCCGCAGTCTCCGGCGTCCTCTCAAGCGCTGGAGCAACAGCAGCAGCAACAACAGCATTTCCAGCAGCGCTTCGAGGGTAGCGGCGACGGGTTCTCGCCGCGGGGTCCCGCGCCCACATCGTCTTCCTATTCGACATCGTCGCCGCAGCACGCGACAGCACCGGCGCCACCGGGTGCCGCTCCCCGCGCCGTCTTCAATCCACCGGCCCCCTCCGCGCGACCTGCTCCCGTTTACGCGCCCCCACCACCTCCGCCACCACCTCCTGCGCCTCCATCTTCGCGTACTCCTGACCCGTACAACGTTGCCGGCGTACAACCGCCTCCGGCCACCCCGGTCCCTGCTGCTCCGGCAGGCTATCCGTCCCCACGTGCCCCCGAGCCTCCCAGGGCTCCCGGGCAGGAGCAAGAGGTCTTTAGCCAACAGCCGGAGGTTAATCGCCAGCTGAGAGATCTCCTGCAGAGGCAGCAGTTCAACAAGAAGATCGAAGGAGTCGGGACTAGCTGGACTCCAGGTATGCTTGGCGTCTTTCTTTCTCTCGAGTTACGCTGTGTACGTCTCATTATATATTGTTGCTACTTCATTTTTATTGTTTCATTTGTGGAGACTAACGAGACGATTTTATATTGGAATTAAAGAGATTAATGTTACATCAACCTGGACATGCAACAATATTTTAATAATTACTAATTTACTGTATTCGTTATTTTTATGTGAATGAAATCGTATTGTTCCGCTGACGCAGATGGCCAGAACAATTCCGAGAGCGGCCAGCAGCAGTTCGAAACAAGCCACGTGCAGCTTCCGCAGCATTCTCAAATACCCGGCAACTCTGGCAACGAAGGCACCTTCCGCCATCCTCTGCCGCCCGGTATTGTCCGGCCCAGAATGCCCATACAACCAAACGTTCTGATCAGGAATCCCATCGGTACGTTTTTTATTGTATTCATCTCCGTATTAAAGTTTCACTCGATATTTCCCGTTATTGTCACGGTCGAATGAAATTTTCAATCGTGTGTGTGTGTCGTGTACGCTCAGAAATAATTTTGCGACACTTTGCAGCGGGTAACATCGACGCACGACTTCAAGGTATCGATCATCGTACCAGGATGCTGCTGCAGAGACCTCAGGCAAGCGCTGCCTTGCCTCAGCAGCATTTCCAAGGCGCCCAAGCCCTGCAAACGCGGTTACCTGCTGCTAGGACCGCTATTTCCGAGCCCTACGACATCTTACATCAACAAAGATTTGCAGGTGAATCAATAGACTCTTGTATCCATATATATATCCATATGTATATAATAAGATCTATTTAAATTTTATTGTCATTCTAATTTAACTGGACATTGTTTCATCTTGATTTTACTTCANTTTTTTTTTTTTTTTTTTTTTTTTTTTTGTCAAGTATACCATATTTTCTCCTCTCTTGTAAATGATCAAATATTTCTCCTTCAGACGCGAATCCGACGCCAAACTTGAACCAACGCATTGCACGCACTGCGCAAGACACTCTGAATCAGGGCATTCGCATGTTGGGCGCTCAAGGTATGGTGCGGGCGCCACTACCCACGACCATAAGCGAGACCACCACCTCGGAAGCCTCGTCTGAGATTCCCGACAATGTCACGGCCGAACTGGAAAAGTTGGAACAGGAAGGTGCCCCGATGGTCGAAGTCGAGGGTGTCAGTGCAATATTGGGCGATTTGGCCGACGACGACGACGAGTTGCTCGGTGAGTTTTCCTACAAAAGAGATTAAATTATAAGTATAAAGTGGATATTTGTGGATAACTAAAAAGTATGTGACCCGGGCCCCGTCGGTCGGTAGACGTTCGTCCCGCCCCGGCCGGCGGGGTGGTCGTTTCCGGTATCGCTGGTTGACCGTGTCCGGTGTCGGTGGCCCTGGCGTAGCTCGCCGGATGTCCAGGCGTCTTGTGGTGAGAGTGTATGTGTGTGTGTGTGTGTGTGTGTGGACGAGTGAGTGAGTGAGCGAATAAGTGAGCGAGCGAATATTCGATATTAGCCGTTTATTTAAATTATGTGCCACGATGTTTGGTACAGATTTAATGATAACAAGCCGTGCTTTCCATCTGCCTTTTAACGCCGGTAAATATTGCGATGACAGTGTCGGTGACGGAATCCCGTGTTTATATTGCGGCCGTGTATTGATGGCTCGCTCGGTGTTTCGGCGGATCGGTGTTTCCCGCTGCGAGGATCCCGCGGTGTCAGCGGAGAGCGGGCGCGGTATTAGCGTCTCGGCGTGTTGATGTTTCGCGGCTTTAAATTTGACGGTCTCGCATCGGAGTGCAACGGCGGAATGCACCTGCTCGACTCGGCGTCGCGGTACGCGGTTCGCGGTGATTGCCGCACGCGGAGTGCCCGCGTCGGTCGACTCCCGGAGCGGAGGACACGCGGTATCGTGCCTCCTTACAGGAACGGTGGAGTCGGCCGGGCGAGCCTAGCCAACGTGCAGCCGGCGGCGGTCGGTTCGCGGCGGTCGGTGGTACCTCCGGTGAGGTGCGGCGGAGAGACACGCGTTGTCTCTAGTTACGCGTTCGCACGCCCCGGAGACGCAGAGCCCAACGACTAGAGTGGAGTGGCCGAGGTTGTGAACGCTCAACAGAGGCGGCGAACACACCACCCCAACTCGTGCCGATCCCCAGGTCTGCCGCGGGCAAGAGGGCCGGGAGCTCCCGGTGGAGACGGCGAACACACCGTCCCGAAATGGAAGTTGTTGTGAATCCGGTGCCCGCGACTTCCACGGGAGAGACCGCGTGCGCACGACCTCTGACTTTCCGGATGACAGGATGTCGATTCGGCTGCGAACTCACAGCAGCGACGGCGTACGCACCGTCGCGGTCCCTCGACCTGGGGATGGGATCCGGAGCAGCTTGTGATCTTGCGATCTCGGCTGACTCCGGCGGAGTCTGGTCCCGATAGCACGGCGGCGCGGTCTTTTATACCGCGTTTTCGCGGTTTTTCCGACACGTGTTTGGCAACAACAACAAACGTTGTTGCTTACGTGTACACGTGTCGGTTGCGTGCTTCGCGTGTGAATTTGTTTGTCGGCGCCTAGCGCCGTTTCTGCGACCGACGGATGGTCGGTCGGTCGCGGTGTTTGCCGGGGGGATGCATCGTCGCAAGTGATATACATTATTAATGTAAAAAGAAAATCACATCATTATATAAAATATATATTTCATGGGCAAATGTATGATTCAATGTGAATTTCTTATTTGTGCAGCTGAGATGGGGGCGGACTTCAATATCCTGGAATACGCGGATCCCGAGTTGGCAGGCGGCGAGAAAACCAACATCCTAGACTTGGATCTAGAGCAGGTGGAGGTAGAACCGAAGGAAGAAAAACAAAAGAAGGAAACCAAGGACGAGGAGCAAAAACCGGATCATCTACCTAGTGGTCCGGCTGAAATCGCCGATTCATGCTCGACCAGCACAACGTTGACAACATTAACCGAAGGCACCAACGTACCGTCGATGACGTCATCGCAACCTGCTTCACAGGCGAACACAGCGGCGATGCAGGTGCAGGTGGTGCAGCAGCAGATGCACCATCATGTACAGCAGGCGGCAGCGATGGGCAGACCGATGCCGCCGGGAACGAGACTGGTGTCACCAGATGGAGTTCTCGGAGTCGTGACTTCCACCAATACAGTAACGGTCAGTTATCCATCGAGCTTCCCAGGACATCCCCAGAGAATCTCGCAGGCGCACATTCAAGGTAAAATTACTTGGATTAAATTAAATTGACTTAATTAATTGGAATTATCTTTGATATGCGATTGAATATATCTTTGGTATGTCAATTAAATTTTGGATACTAAAATAATCGAATTCATAATATTACTTATATAAAAAAACTATATAGGGTATCTCAGAATAAGAACTAAATATTTTGGGGGCTTAAATATGAGGACTTTAAAAAAATCGAATGATATGACTTCAAAACATTGTTTTTTCTACGGTATTTCTCCTTCGAAACCATTCAAAAATTGTGGCTCTAAACATTTCTCATATTATTAAAAGCAAAGGAGATATTCCAATGTTATGTTAGGGAACACTCTGTATACTTTATTGAATAATTACTGCATCGTTATTCATATCGTTCATACATGTTTCATGTTGCAGTTTCGCAACCACAACGCCTCGGCATGCGAGTAGCGAACGTGCCCAATGTAGCGGGCAGAGTTGTCGCCGTGAATCACATGATCGGGCCTCGAATGCCTTTAGCACCACCACCGCCTCCGCCACCACCCCCATATCCAGGACCTCCACCCCCGTATCCCGGACCGATCCAGGTAAGTGTCGTTTCTTCAGTTTAAAACAGCCTTTCTTGAAATTTGTATGCATTGCTTCGATATTTAGTACATCCATGAAGGAGGTCTAATTAATAAATTAAACGAGAGAGAGAGACAGATTGAAATGATAAATATTTCTAGAAGATTTATATAGGTTAATAATTACTATGGATATGAATCTAAGGTGATTTATAAGAGGAAGAAATTTGTGAGCGGTTGTTATTTTATTTTACCATCTATATATTTATTTAGTTATTATTGAAAAACGAAAATTATAGACATCTTTTCCATTGAACATAGAAATTAGTAACAATTATAAGTGTAAATACATATGTAATTTAAAGAGTTATTTAAAGAATGACGATCATGGTGAGAGACGCGATGCTAAAACGCTAAACTCCATTCTGACAACTTACATTTACAATAACACAATTTGCAAGCGTTTTATAATGTATACTTAACTAATAAGATGTTTCGCAATTGCATGTACGATATTTCTGTGTCAGTTAGTTTTGCTGAATTTATTTCAGAAATATTTTGCGCGGCTGCAATATCGAGTATACGGTAATTTTGCGTAGTTTTACTCTTAGATTGCAATTTTAAGATTATACATAAGTGTTCTCGTAGATTACACTGTAAAAACTATTTTTACGTAAACTCTTTAAATATGTTATCTGTTCAAAAAACTTTGAATCTACCAAGAACATGACAATTATATTTATACTTCAATTTAAGAATTATCGGATTATTTAGTGGCCGTAAATTCTCTTACATTTATGCAAATTATTCACAAACACAACAATAAATAGGTTAACGTAATCAGAGGTCGAGATTGAGGTCGGGTTATTAAAATTTGCTGTGAACGTAAACGTAGCTAAATAACGAATCTTATCCTCTCAGAGCCAAGAAAAGCACTGTCTTATAATAAAATAGAGTATGTAATTTTGTACGTTAAAGAGAAATTGGTTGAAACTGTATGACTCACCTGTTAAATCAGTTTTCACTGTATGAAAGTTTGAGATCCTGTAGAATTCTGCCGGATCTCTCAAAATCTCATCGAGAACAACTTCAGTACATATTTTTGTAATAATTTGAAACTTCCTTTCCTCTATCAATTATCAAAATTTTTTTTAAGCGAAAATATCAATTCAGTAAATTAATTGTTTGTGTGTAAAAACTTATTCATATATATATATATATATATATTCCGTCTTCAATGAGATTCGAATTAATCTCTGAGATAATCAGAGATCATCGCGAAAAGTGCGTAGAAATGGCGCTGAAAGGATAGTCGTATCGTAAGAATACTGGCTGGTGTCCTTGGCCTGGGTGTGTTTGCAATATGCATTTGGTGTTGGCGCATGTCTAGATGGGGCTGTGCCTAGGTGGTGGTGGCGGGCGGGCTATGACGCGGCCCCCGCCGGTGGTCCATATGGGGCACCAGCAGGTGCCGGTGGCGGCGGCGGGCCCGCCGATGTGCCCCGCGGTTCACACCGGCGCACCACCGCACCCTCACCGGAGACCCTTGCTTCTGCAGGTGAGCGAGATTCGGGGCAGTTTCCAATACGACCTACCTCCTCCCTCGTGTCGAGGAAACGAGAACGTACCCCTGTAATACCTATTCCATTGGAGAACCCCTCTAGCAAAGCACTTCTCTATTTAGAGGATGGATATATTATATCTGCAGAATATTACGCAGAGTGTTGTTGAACGACGGGGGAAAAATACAGGAGATTACAAGGGGTGAGACAAACGTTTTGCGTCGTGAGTCCGGGGGTCAAAAGTAAGAGATGACAGAGCTGTGTGACTCTTTAAAGTTAGAAATTGTGTATAGAAAAATCGCTATTCACAACTTTAACGGGCCATAGATTTATTTATTTTTTTATTTTTAAATCATTTACGACTAAAATGTTTGTCTCATTGACCTGTATTATGTCTCGGGTTCTTTCCTTCTTGTCCGATAATACCCAGTGTACATATAGTATCTGTATGTATCTGAACTCCACCGGCAAACTTCTATATAAAAAAGTAAATAAAAGTCTTAGTAAATATATGCCTTCAAGTGCTTAGTTTTTGAGATATAGCTGCCGCAATTTCAGTTAAAAAAATACATATTTTATTCATTAAATCGTGTTTTACAAATTAAGTAATTAGACGCACGATGTTATAAAAATTATTCAAAATGTGTCTGCCTCCCTTATCAATGCAGAATTGACATCTGTGGAAAAAGACACGCGTTTTTCTAATTTCACTCGCAACAAATGGTAATAATATATCAACGTCACAATGAATAATTTGTGCAGGTGATTCCTCGCTAAATATTCAGAAATATCAAAATTTATAATTATTCTCTTTAAAAACGGATCTAAAATCGTTGTATTAGTATTCTTAACCCACTTATCGCGATACATTTTCTTTCATCGTTGTCATCATTTAAAGGCTATATTTAAAAAACCAAACTTTTGCGGACATATGCTTATTAAGACCTTTTTTACTTATTTTTCAACATAGAATCTGTCCTGTAAGTTTGTCAGTAAAGTTCAGATACATCCTGTATATATGTGATATGATATGTTAATATTCCGCGATAAATAGAAAAGAAATGCGCTTATAAATTCCGACGAAAAGAGCCTCATTAGGAATTTGAGAATTATATTCGACTCAAAGTTGAGAAAAATTGTTTCTTCGTATACTGTGTACTCGAATATATCATGTTGTGAGAGTATAAGAAATCGATAACACACACCCTGCACCTTTTGCACTTATGTTCTTTACAGTTAATTTACCATCGATATGCACTTCTCTTAGACGTATGCATGCGTATTGCACGATCTTGATTTCATTTAACGATGTGAATAACTCGTTTAATTCTTTATCCCCTTTTTTCGTAACCCTGAGCGTTGCTTTTTTTATAAAACGTCTCAGTGTCTGAGATCCTTGTTCTGCATGTACGTGCGTGCGTGTATGTGTGTGTGTGTTCGCGAGTGTGTGAACATGTGCGTGAGAGTTGTAGATTTACCTAGATTCTATGTATCTTTATATTCGCGCAACAGGGAATATAAAGATAGCCCGATTTTCTAGAAATATTTCCTCACGAATCATTATAGTTTCCTCTCAGATTTTCGAAAATCCTTCAGCTTTTTTAGAAAATCCTCAGAATCCTTAGAGAATCTCAGAAAAAAGCCCGCGGATTGATAAATGTTAGAGGTACGCCAGTTTTTTCAGAATTTTAAGAATCCGAAAAATTCTTAGAAAATTCTCAAATTTTCCGCGATTCCAAAACCCGTGGAGTAATCAAAATCGACGTTATATGTAAATATATCGACGTTCTCGCAGAGACTGTTTAATTCTTTAATTATATATATTATACTTGTTACAAATAATGTTTAATAATTTTTCAGGAGACTCCAATAAATCCCAATCCAATCGACAGGCACGTTTCACCCCACAACGACGATGAAAAGTATTTTGTTACCCTCTATAATTTTTCAAATTGATCCAATTACCGTTTTTTTTTTTAATCCCTTATAATAGAAACGTAATATCAATTAAATACAGAGTCACGCGGATTCGAGTTGCGATACGAAAGCATTTAAAAACACAGTTACAATACTTCGCGCAAGTGCCGTTGTCTCACTCGTCCTTACGAATATTACTCTCCCTTGATCTCGACAATCTCATCTCAGCTCTGCAATTTGACCCCATGTTGCACCCCTAATCTCATATCCAAAACACACCCGCGTAACTTATCATCTCGTGTATTTAGAAGCGAGCTTGACTGTCAGCAGTTATGTTCACAGGAGCAGCCGCTGTTGCTGGAGGAGCTGCTGGAGCAGGAGAAACGGGAGCAGGAGAAACAGCAGCAGCAGCAGCAGCAACAGCAGCAACAACAAACGGAGAACCCCGCAGCGAGCAGCAATCTTCTAAGCGACAGCGACTTCGAGAGAATAAGAGCCGACGTTCTGGGAGCGACGTCGCCACCTCAAACTATGGTAGCCGGTGGAAGTGTGCCGGTGATCAGACCACCCTGCACGACTAGACCTCCCTCGGTGCCCGGTGCCGGCTGGCAGCAAGGAGGTGTATCCGATTCGGCTAAAATGGCGACCGCTCAAGTGCCTAGACAACCCATCGCCACGCAGACCCCGCCTGAATGTTAGTGTAGAAAGAGAAATTAGCCTGTCGTTCGAAACGCACGTTTCGCGCACTTCATTGTTACTTTTACTCTATACCAGGGTTGCTCGTGTGACCGACGTGAAATAATTATGTTTGTTCCACAGCGAGGTTGAACACCTTCAACATCCCGCTTATACCAGCACCACCAACGCCACCGGAAATTATCCTGAACGAGCAAGATCGACAGGCGCATATGCAGTACGATCATTGGCTGATCAATCAGCAGAATGTATTGACGCAGCAACTGAAGTTTTACGAGTCCGAGATCCAGAAAATTCGTAAAATGAAGAAGGTAAGTGGAGCTGGATTAGTCCAAGACCGAAGTAGATTCAATTTGACCGAATTATGGATACGTATCACTCATAATTCAAAATAACGGATAAATTACAAATTGATTTGCATTGTATTGAAAAGTGACGCCAAAAGTGACAGTAATCCAATTTTTACATGTTCCTTGAGATTAACGTACCATATTTCTTTTTTAATATCTTCTAAACTAAAAATAAGATTTGGTAGGAAAAAAACTTCTATAATATTAAAGACTAACATGCAGACATTGTACATAAATTTCAAAATTATTAGCTATTTTGTTTTTATATAGTTTATAACTTATAATAATACAGTGATTTAAAGTTTATAATTTATAGTAATACTCGAAATATATATACATATGCACACATTTAAACATTTATATATCTCTTTTATCTGTGCATCTCTGTTAGATCAACTGATGCATAAATATAGCATTAATAAGAAAAATAAAAAGTAATATTTTCGTATTTATAATAATATGTACACACGTCTATTTCAGCTTTGTTTAAAATTAACATTTATTATTTAGGGAGTGAAATAAATGTATAAAAACGTAATTTTGCTTGATAAATATTGAATTAATGAGTGGCCCCCTCGACGCACCACTGAAAATACGGCACTAATAGGCAAAATACATCCTTAAGTATAATAGACCCAAACTTTGAAGAGATAATCTCTCCTTTTCGCAATTCAACGGAAGCAAGTAATCCGACCTTCTCGCAGTCTCTCACCAGCAAACAACGCCAGCTACGCAAGACGGGCGGCGACCTCTCGGAGAACGACTCGGCGGAGCTGAACCGTGTTTCCAACGAGCAGACGTTCATGCAGAAGCACTTGGAGCAGTCGCGGAAACAGTTGCGCCAGCACAATCTGCTGACCCAGGAATACCACAACAAGCAGCAGCAACGGCAGCCGTCGGCGTCGCAGGGCCCACAGTCGAACAACCCGGAGCCCTGTTCGCCGCTCATGTCGCCGTCGCAGCATTCACCGATGCACTCGCCCGCCGCGTTGGTCAGCCAGTCTCCAGGTGCCAACATAATCCAGCACTCGCCGGCGACTCCCTCCATCGTGCAGCATAGTCCCGGCGCAACGTTGCTCCAGCATAGCCCGGGAAACCCGCAGTCGACCAATCCGGGCACCATGTCGCCTCACAACGTGCAGCAGCAGTCGCCGCGAATCGGCACCCCGCACTCCCAGGCTGGCGAGGAGAGTCCGTTCAGCCCGCAGAGCGGCGCCCTGCCGTCTCCCGGAGGTCTGTGCGGTCCTGCCGTGGCCGTGGCGCGGATGACGTCACCGCAACAGCGGACGATCATCGGCGGCCGGCTGGCGGCGGCGAGCGGCAGTCCGGGAGGCGCGTTCACGGTGGCGGACGCGGCACGGGTTCAGCAGCCGCAGCAGCGCTTCGTGCGACCGGCGAGCGGCGGCAGTGGTGCGATGGTGATGGGCGAAACCGCCGGGCAACAGCGCGTGCCGCCGAGGGCGGTGGCGGGTGGCATGTCCGTCTACGGGCAGCGTTCGCCGCTGGGCAGTCCGCAGCCGACGACGCAACAGGCGAGTCTGCTCGCTCAACAGCCGCAGCTGCTGCAGAGGCAACAGATGATCCAACAGCAGCACGACGTTATTTCTCAAGACGGGCAGAACGTCGTTGCGCAAAGGACGCTTCAAATGGCTCAGCAGAGGCAGCAGATTCTTCAACAGCAGCAGCAACAACAGCAGCAGCATGACGTTATTTCTCAAGACGGGCAAAGTGTTGTTACCCAAAGAACGCTTCAGTTGGCGCAGCATCGGCAGATCCTCCAGCAACAGCAGCACGAAGCCATCTCTCAGGACGGGCAGAACGTCGTCACACAGAGGACGTTGCAAATGGTTCAGCAACGGCAGCAGCTCCTTCAGCAGCAGCAACAGCAGCAACAACAACATGAAAATCTCACTCAAGACGGGCAGAACGTAGTCACTCAGAGGACGTTACAAATGGTTCAACAACGCCAGCAGATTCTCCAGCAACAACACGAGACCATTTCTCAAGCTATTTCTCAAGACGGGCAAAACGTTGTCCAAAGGACTCTGCAGATGGTCCAGCAACGGCAGCAGCTCCTTCAGCAGCAGCAACACCAACAGCAGCATGAAAGTCTCACGCAAGAAGGGCAGAACGTTGTCACCCAGAGAGCCCTACAGATGGTCCAGCAACGTCAGCAGATTCTCCAGCAACAACAGCACGAGGGTATCGCCCAGGTTGTTTCCCAAGAAGGGCAGAGTACTATCACTCAGAGAACACTGCAGATGGCACAGCAACGGCAACAGCTGCTGCAGCAGCAGCAGCAGCAGCAACAACAGCGGCAACAATACCTGCAGATGCAGCAACAGCAGCAGCAGAAGCCGCCCAGCTCGCCGATGGTGTCTCAGCCGGCCAACTCTCCTAGTCCTCAGCTTCTCCAGCAGGGTTACGGCCAACCACCGAGCTCGCCCATGGTACAGCAGACGACGATGGGCTCGCCGATGCTGCAGCAATCGTTGAATCCGACCTCGCAACCGCCTAGTCCAATGAACCGAATCTCGCCGATGGTGACGTCGCAGTACCAGCCGCCCAGCCCGATGTCCAGGAGTCATCCCTCCACTTCGCCAATGCTCCACGGTGGCCACCACTCCTCCTCAGCGGCCAATCAGCCGCCCAGCTCGCCTATGATGCCCCGCAGCCCGCTGGTGGCTGGCTCGCCGATGCAAATGCAGCGAAGACAATCCACCGGTAACAGCCCGGCGATGCCCGACAGGCCACAGAGCGTGGAGAATCCCCCGACCCCGAGGACACCTCACACACCTCACAGCTTCGTCCAGCAGAGCGCCAATCTGCCGACGAGTGATCAACAACAGATCCTTCAGCAGGTCTCTCAGGATCAAGGTGCCTCGGAGCATTCCAGAAGCGGAGGGAACCCGCACAATCCTCTGAACCCGGTGCCGTCCCCGAATCCCGTTAGGAGCGGAGGCAACCCCAATAACCCTCTGAACCCGATACCATCCTCGAGTGTCGCACGGGGTGGAGGCAATCCCAACAACCCCCTGAATCCGATGCCATCTGTGGATTCCGCTAAGGGAGGCGGGGGGAACCCTCGCAATCCGCTGAATCCGATACCGTTTCCAAACTTCGGGAGGTTTGGCTTCTTCAAGTTAGGCCTCAGAGGCGGCTCGCCCATGTGGTCGAGCAAAGCGGCGGAGAGCAGCAAGAGCGCCGGCGCGGGCACGGACACACCGCAGGAGGAGAAGCCGAACACTTCGGTGTTGCGGAAGTCAGCGAAGATCGGCTCGCTCGTGTGCGCCGACTACAACGACTTCGACGACGACTCGCACACTCCGCCGCAGACGCCTCCGACGGAGGCGAAGCAAGGAAGCCAGTCCAGTTCCTTGGCCTCGTCCACCCTGGACAACGGTCCGCTCGACAGCCCCGGCGAGAAGCTGGACCAGCTCGCGGACACCGCCGATTACGACGACGACAAGACTATAGTGAACACCGAGGTGACGCTGAGCTCGGCGGCGCAGCGCGACAGCGACGACATCACGGTGATCGAGCAGTTCGGCGACTCCGAGCTGGTGGACGTCATCTCGGGCAGTCTGGAGGGCGACATGCAGGAGGAGTACGTGCTCTTCGAGCCTGGAATGGTGGTAGACCTCTCAGCGGACAGCAACGACTCGCTCTGTCACGCACTGGTGAACGCCGACGGCGGCCAGGGCGACCTCGTGCAGATCTTGGAGATCGAGAACCCGGGATCGCAGTCGGAGGAGCCGATTCTCAGCGACGACGACTTGGTCCCGACCAACACGAGGAACAAGAAAGGCCTGCGGCTCGACATAGTGAGGACTCTGCAAGCGGGGAAGAAGCTGGTGGCTGTCACCGATACCTCCGAGTCTCCGGACCAAGAGGAGCTCAGAGTAGACCCTTCGCCGGGGCCTTACCTGGACAATTCGCCCGATCAGGATCTCATGGTGTCCCTTGTGAGCGAATCTGAGGTGGTCATCATTGACCCCACGACGAAGTCGCCCGAGGACAATCTCTCGAAAGGGTCCTGCGACGAAGATACTGACAAAACGGACGGTAATGTTCTGACTGACGTGTCCAAGGACAATACGGTGGTTGTGGAGAGCTTGATCGACGAGCAGACCAAGTCTTCGCAGAAGGACCCCAAGCAGACTAAGAGTCCGACGAGCTTCGTTTTCCCGGAGAAGGTTTCTTACAATCAAATCACGCCCTCGACCGTTCACCAGACGAACATAAGCGCCACGACGACCTCGAAATCTCCGGTTTCCTCGGCAATCACCACGATCTCTTCGATTCTGAGTACAAATCTGGTCTCTACTACGGGTCCCCATACGCAAATTCTCGCTCAAGCCATCGCAGCAACGGAGGCGAACGCGGCGAGTCAGGACGCGCTGCTGAACTCCTTCAGCGATCAAAAGGTTAACCTGCCGTCGACGATGGCCAGCATCGTGGCGGACGCGAAGCTCGCCGCGAGGCTCAGTCAGACCGCTCTGGAGAATGTATCCAATTCTCCACAAGGCAAACCGGAGCCGAAAATTGGCGAAACTCCAAAGGTGTCGTCTCCGGCAACAACCTCCAGCGCGCAGAGCGAGTTTTCCAGCTCGACGAGCGTAGTGGAGACATTGAACAATTCTACAAAACTAGTTTTAAGTATCCAGTCGACTTCTGTGGCGTTGTCGACTCCAAAGATGACGGATCTGTTGAGGAAGGAGAGCATTCTGAAGACGACGAACAGGCAGGCGGAAGGTCATGAAAGCGAAATGAAAAAGAAGACCGAGGAAGGGGAGCTCGTGCAGGCGAAGATCAAGGAGCAAAGTGTCTCTTCGGCTATCCCCTCGGCTTCGGTAGCGGAAGAAAAGTTGAGCGACCCGTTGAATACGACGGACGAGCTAGAGAGCATGCTGGAGGCGATCCACAACCCGGCGGAAGCTACCCTGAAGGACGAGAGTAAGAGCGAGGTCCCCACGACGGCGGTTTTGAAGAGGATGTCACCTGTCGCCGACGATCTGTCGCTCGTCAACATCCTGGAGAACGACGCTGAGCCGGTGGATAACGATAAGGAGGAGAACTCTTCAGGTTCTGAGGTGCAGAAGATCGTGAGCAAATCGAAAGAGGTGGAAGGTGATCTCGAAGAGAGCAACAACGCGAAGAACACGTCGGCGAAGGAGAAAATTGCCGAGGAACTGGACCTGGAGAACGCGAAGCCGTATCTCCAGCACTGCTTGAGCGAGGAGAAGTCCCTGATGGAGGAGTCCTCGGACGATATCCTCGATATGTTGCACAACATCATCTCGTCGAAGCCGGAGATGGCGAACACCAGCGAGCTGAAGTCGAGTTTAATTTATCAGATGCCTACTCCGCTCGACACCTTGCCGTTGAACATCCTGCAGGATTCGCTGATGGATCTGGATCAGGAGAGCCTGGAGAACGAGCAACTGCCTCCTGCGCAGGAACCTAACAAGAGCCAGTTCAAGAGTCTGAATTCTGAGGCGAAGAAGAGCCCGCCGGCGCCGAATCAGGCGGTGGCGCAGCTGCAGAAGAGCACGACGACTGTGCCGCACCTGTCGCCCCTGTCGAAGCCCACCGAGCTCACCTCCAACGTCGCTAATGTGTCGCACCAGCTGCGCACACTGCTCTCCTCTTTGCAGAGTAACCAGACCACTGGGAACCAGACCGGCGTCGTCACCATGGTCTCCTCCGTCAAACCCGGCGTCTTCTCCACCACCAGCACGTTCTCGACCTCGAACTTGCCGGTCAGCAACGCCTCCACCTTGTCGAGACTCGAGCAGAACCGGCCGCAAGCTAGTGTGAGTACTAGTGTCGCGAAAGAACAAGAATTGACTTTGAAGGAGCCCGCTAAGGAATCCATCGGGATAACTTCCGCCGTTTCCAAGGTACACAATGATTAATTTTAATTTTCTGCAGAAACGATTTCAGCGAATCTGGCACATAATAACGAGAAAGAGTTTTGCTAAGATGTTCCCCATTATTTATCCACCCGATGTTGCACCAAATTTTGCCATCAGATCAGTACTCGTCAATCTGATTACAAATATATGTATTTTAAGGTGTAACTATTTAACGTTCCAGAGAAAATAAGCTCCTAAAGTTTCAATCTCCACAGATGAAATAATCGCCATCTGTCAGGATTGAAATCTTTGGAGCCTATTTCTCCTGGAACGATAAATCGCTACAGTTTAAGATATATATATTTGTAGTAACGTGGCGAGTACTGTGGTGAGTACTTTAATCTGGTACCAAAATTTGGTGCAAAATCGAGGAGGAGAAAAATGGGAAATCTATATTGCCTATGGACGTTTGTTCGTACTCTTTAATTTAATTTTAACGTCAGGAGGAAGATTTCGATCACAGTCCGGATGGGATTTTGATTTTAAGCATTAAAACGTTTCTAATGCGTCTTGTTTTAATTGGGGAAGAAAAACGACACATTTCTAAATTTTACTGCTAATAATGAGAATTTTAATTGGACGAGCATTTCGGCGTCAGTATTAATATCAGTCTTAAATTTACGCCTGAATCCCTTAATTTTAGCTTTAATGCGAATTACTTATGATTTTAATTTTAAAAATAATTCAAAAATAACTTAATCACAAACGGTTAAAAAAAAAATTATCACAAAAAACTCTTTCTAAATAAAGGAAACTTCCTAAATTCGCTTTAATTTAAAAGATAACACGCACTTCGATAGTTAAGAGATGAATTTCAATTCAAGGCTGAGCCGATCTTCCGGGTAACTACCACTGCTCCAACCACCACTCCTCAATCCAGTAACTGTTCGAATCTCACGACCACTATTTCTTCGTCGATTATGGCCACCCGAACCATCACCACGTCAATCTCCATGTCGAACTCCATGTTGAACGCCATGCTGGGCGAGACGAGTTCGATTAAGTCGTCGGTGGCAGGAGGTCACGGTCGCAGCAGCAACACCGTGCCGACTCAGTCCGGCAATCTGCTGAGCTCCGTGTTACCGTCCACTTCGATTCCGCGTTCCCAGCCCACCAATCTGCAGGCGATCCTGCAGGTGAGCTCGGCGGCCTCGCGAGTGCTGATGAACGCCACCTCGACGGTCACTAGCCCGATACAGTGCGTGCGAACCATCGTGCCGCCCTTGGCAACCCCCAGCATTCTCCAGTCGACCTTGTCGCAAGCACCGAGCCACTTGTTAACTTCCAATCAGAGCCAGCACAAGTCTCCGCTTCTCCTGCCTATCGATAGTAAAAGCAACGATCTTGATAACCAGTCCAGCACCATGAAAAGAGACGCCGAGGATGCGAAAGTTCCGGAGAAGGTCCCGGGACGAGAGGGTGACCCTGGCAAGAGTTCTTCCGCGAATCCTCTGCGGTACGAGGAGTCGCAGAACGTGTTGCTGAAGCAGTTGCTGCAGAGCAACGCCTGCGTGACGACCCCGGTGCCCATGCAGGGGCAAGGGCCGACTTTGCCGATCGTCAACTCGCTGGCGGCCCAGCTGGACCAGCCGGTCGTCCCTGCGCCGCCGTCCCTGTTGCCACATCTGTTGAACGAGACCCCAGCGCCGAAGGCGGCGATTGGTAAGCAAGTGCTGGCGAGGGAAACGTCCTTCCTGTCCTCGCACTCGGTCACACCCATCAAGATTCAAAACTCGCCCACGAAAGAGGAGTCCCCCAAGCCTCCTCCCCCGTTATCCACGTCGACAGCGATAACCTCGCAGAGAGGGCAGATCGATACCTTGAAACAGCAGCAACAACAGCAGCAACAGCAGCAGCAGGCCAATCAAATGATAAAGCCAGCGCTTCCCAGCTCTTCCGGCGGTTCAACGGGAAGTCAACAACAGCCGATTTCCGCGGTGTCGTCGTCGTCGACGACGATTGCGACGACGATGGCGACAACGAAAACGTCGCCGAAGGTCTGCGAGGTGCGGTATTCTCTCGATACTTCTCTCAGTACCCTGAAATGAGAAAGAAACTCACGTTCACCTTTTTGTTATTGATGTTTTCGTGAATATTTCAGGTCATTTCTCCAGGGAGAGGAACGACCCGACGTTGTTTTCTCTCCCCGGGTGTCGGTCAACTTTTTCTCTAGGGCGGAAGTGTAAAAAGCGAGGAGTGAAAGTTAAAAAATGTATACTTCTCACGAGTTCACGCTAGAAGGAAAGATTCATGATCAACCTCCAAGGGGATCATGAATCTTCTCCTCCAGCGTGAGCTCGTGAAAAGTAAACTTTCCAATTTGAAAACATTTCACTTTCTACGTTTCCGCCCTAAGGGAAAAGTTACGCGATCGTTACCATGAATAAGTGAACTGGAATATTCGCGATACGTCGGAAACGAATCCATGAAGGACACGGTACTAACTCGGAAGCCAAATTAAGCATTTCTTCGCACCGTGAAAGCCTTAAAATATCAAAATTACTTTAAATCCAAATTTTAAACTTACATATATAACATTAAAAATACATATTTATTATATTAAAATTTTTATCTATGCAAAATTTATCGTGGAACTTTTGGAGTAAAAATGATGAAGACAAAATTATTAAAAAAAAAAAATGCGCGAAAATGTGCAAAATTTATAGATAAAACCAAATTCGGCTCGTCCTTAGAATAATATAAAAAAAATATAAATTAGCGGTCTAATTGGCTAATTGACAGTAGAGAGGCATTGGTTATTGGTGCGTTTAGGAATCGTCTTTCTATATTATAATTCTCGAAGTAACGACGTTCCGCGCGTGCGAGCGCGCGATCTCTTTCGGCCCTTTCCAGAAATTACAGATAGTAGCACAGATGATAACTCAGATAGATATTATCTGCATTTTGAAGAATATTCGAGATAGAAACGGTTTCATTGATTTAGAGCACTACAGAAGAATATGATCTCAGAACGCATGGACAAACAACCGTTCCTGCCAACGCGTGCTGGTTTATACTTCTATTAAACGTGAGACTTTGATTTAGGATTTAATGGGAAAAAGAAAATTAGCGTTTCTATAATTTGAGTTTATCAAGCCATTGAAATTTCTTCCAAAATGGAGTTTACCACAAAGTTGGTGATTTTCATTTAAATTATTCGTAACCACAAGGTTGGTGATTTTCATTTAAATTATTCGTCATTTATTAACAATATTTATTCATCATTTGTTACTTGTTAACAATTGGGAATTCATTTCTTGCGTAAAACTCAAATCTTTATGAGATATATGTCATTATCATCACAGTCAGAGAACGTGATAGTGAAGGAGAGCCCGCCGGTACAACAACGCGTGGCCATCCCAGTTTCGAGGGTTCCACCTGCTCAACAGAAACCACCGGTAGCCTCGAAAAGCGTTCTACCGCCTGCCAGCAGCGCCGGCAGCCTTCCCGGTGTTCAGACGTCAATGCCACAGCCTGCGAGCACTCTTCAAACGACGCAGAAGCCGGTCGTCCCGCAGGCTCAGCAGATCTCTTCCGCTCCGTCGTCCTCGCCGAATGTTAATATTAAGCAGCAGCCCGTTCAGCAAGTGCCTCACAGTTTAACCCACGGCCACGCGCCGATCCCGTCGCCAGTGACGACCGCCGCGCCGTCGGGCCCGGTGACAACGGTACCCTTGATCGAGGTGAAGAAAGAGGCGGGCCTCGACGAAGCGGCTCTGCCCGCTCAGGTTGCACCGACCGGTGCCAGCCACTTGCAGACCGATACCAAAGACTTTCTCGCTTCAGCCAAAGAGGAGCTCATGGACGGCACGATGGACGACAAGGCCGGTGAGTTTCTTCTTCACGGGTATCTCTTCGCTATAAAAAAAAAAGGATATATAGTTTTGCGGATGTAATTGCTTTTATTATGCGATTATAATGTGAGGCAAATTCATGAATTTCCGCAAAAAGCAATATCACATATCGTGTCGTTTTCCGTAAGAGCTAGAAGTTCATTGGCTGCTGCGTCGCTTACAAGATCTGACTATGAATACCATCCATAAGGAGGTCTAGTTAAAATTTAATTAACACTAGATTTACGGTGGTTCGTAGAGTTAGGTATACTACATACAGATTTTAAAAATTAGAAGGCTTAGGAAAAAAATAATTGTGTGTATAAATTCTTCGGGTGAAATGATTAATTTACGATACAAAGTGGTTAAAAATTAATGCTATAGTTTTTTGGGTATTTCTTTTCAAAATTTGAAATCCGTCAAATTGACGGGTCTCGTAAACCTAGTGTTGAAAAAAAGAAAGTCAGCTTATTCCAGAGAAGAAAATCCGCCGTTTCAGTTTCCAAATAAGCCAGAAAATACGCTAAATACGAAAATCAATTGAAACATGATTTCTGCACTCCAGTTGACGTTCAAATAAACTGGAGAACACTGGTGGTACCACGACGAAGCACTGTCCGAACTTCGGATACTTTCAGATCTCAAAAAGCTGAAGAGGCGACAATATCAGCAGAAGCGTAAGCAGAGCCAAGGCAAGGACACGGCGACAGCGCCGCAGAAGAAACGGTCGCGCAAGGTGTCGCGCCTCGACGAGGACTACGACACGTTCGTGGACAATCTGATGGCGCAGCTGCGTCAGCTGCAGCCGATGGCGGTGTTGGAGCCGCTGCTCGGCCGCAACTACGGAGTGTGCCCGATCTACGGCTGCGGCGACCTCGCCAAGATCGCCAGTCAGCGGGACTACAACGCGAGAATCGGCGATTTAACCGGCGGTTACGGCAGTGCCAATTTACCCGGGCTGTCTGATCATTACAACACGCAGCCCTTCGGCGAGCTTGACCCTCTGCCGCCGCAGCAACCACTCTCCACGCAAAGAGGTTTCTACGATCAGGAATTTCCGCCTCTCAAATTGGATGACTGTGAGTGCTCAGCGCGAAGTTTCCATTCTCCCTTCAGGTTTATTTGTTGATTCGCTTATTTATCGGGAGGTAAAACCCATTTGATACATTAGCATGAAAAGAAGATCGGACAGGTATTGAAATTAATCAGTGACCAGAGCGCGGGACGGCTGAGATTATCAGCAATGACGTTTTACGGGGAATTTGTTTTGAAAACTGACGTTTTATAGGTATCAGATGCTTGTCCGTGGGAACTCCAGTGTGGGAAGATTAAGCGTAGCGTAATGAACATGAATGTTTACTCATTGGCGAACCTGCTTGAAAACTGACGAAAATTTCAGAAATCTATGATGCCGCACTCTCTCAATCTGGACTATGCAGACTTTCCGATAACGAGACCATCTTTTTCTCTGTGTAGTAGTCGCGTATTCAAGATGGGGGCGCACTAAAGAAACATACAGTAATCTTAGCACGAAGGGACTCCTAAAGTCGCAAGGGAAACGCTTAACGCAACCCAAAGGTCTCGGAGGTTTATTTATAACCCGTGTAATTTATTTAATCCGAGGAAGAAATCTCTATTATCGTCAACCTCGTTATTATTATTATTATTATTATTGTTACTTGCATTATCGTTAGTACGAAGTTTTACGAAGCGAGAGTAACGCCGTTACAAATGCAATTGTCCCACTTTCTCAGCCGAGGATAAGAAGGAAAATACAGCGGCGAATCCGGACTCTCCGGACACCATCGTGAGCTCATCCTCGCCCGAGTGCGTCATACCGGAGTTCATGCATCGTTTCCCCGGGCTACGATTAATCGAGGAGGATTCGGACGAAGAAGCGGACTGGCTGAAACGCTTGTCACCCGTTATACCGTTAATCTCGCCGATCCCGATTAGGGTAAAGCCAGCGTACGCGAAGGACGTGGCCCAGCAGGACAAGGAGAATCTCGGGGTACCTAAGTACGTATCTTTTTTACGTACCAATCAATTGATATGCGCGATGTGAAGTAAATATTATGTAATCAAATTACGTGCCGTCGGATCTCCGGTTTGGGCGTACTGTGTGCCCAATCGCTTAACAAACGTATCTCTCTTTAGGCTCGGAAAGTCTCCTCCGATCCCGTTGCGAGAAAGCGGAAACGTCACCGTCACTTTGACTCTCAACAGTCAGGCAGCGGACGATATCATGGGTGTACTTAAGGATCTAGCGAATATCTTGAATATCGCGCCGCCCACTGGCTACCAGATAGTCGAACGCACCACCACTCCTCCCAGTCAGAAATTGGGCTTGTACAGGACCAAAGGGAAGGACGGCAAGGAAGGAGGTGCCGATCATTATTTCACTTTTCCACGTCGCTGTGCGACGACTATAGCGTATTATACAATTGTCTCTCGGCCAGATTTTGCCATAGTGAAAGGACTAAAACGATTTAGTACTGTAACTTGTGCATAAATATCGAAGCCAACGTATTTGTGCAGCTAGAAAGTCAATTGGCCTTCTAAACAAGTAAAACGGGGTGAAATGTTTTCGGAGAAAATACACGAAATAATTAAAATCTGATAAGATCGATGTATCGGGATTAACCATACACGCTATTGCTTCCGATCACTTATTACGATCGGCTAATTAATATATGCTTTTAGCTCCGATCGACATTCAAAGCATCCTGAACGGCGCGGCGAAATTTTGCCGTCACTGCGACGTCGTGATCCTAAACAGCCTGATACGAAAGAAAGTGTCCGATCTGCCATTTTTGAGCAAGGAGGAGGCGGAACCCGGTGACGAGCTGTGCTTCTGCTCAGCCGCCTGTTACATGCAATTCGCCCTTATGCACCGCACGCCCTCCAATACGCAAGATAAGGTTAGCAAGAAGCGAAAGCATTCAGCATTTAGATCGAGTTGATATTTAATATTAGATTTTACTCGTCTTTCTTAATTCGTTCCGTCGCAGGCCGCGACGATAGTGGATCACTTGTGCCAGAAGACGGAAACGAAGCTGCTGGACGAAGACTTGAAAAGCCTGAAGAAAGTGCCTATAAAGCAGCAGCAACAGCAGCCACAGTTGGCGGATCAGCGCATCGAGAGCATGGACATCGACGAGACGAGCACGACAAGCGCGACGGACGTCGTGAAAGTGAAGTCCGAGAAACCGGATCACGTGGAGAACGTGACGGAGAACGTGGAGGCGGAGGAGAAGAGGCCGAAGAAACACTCGGTCACCGAGGAGCCGAGCGAGACCACTGTCGAGCCGCAGCCACCCGCGAAGGTTTGGCGGGGCTTGAAATACAAAACTTGGGCGACGGGGGCGATACAACCCACCACCAAATTCAAGAAAACCACCGATAGAGAGATCACCGAGGTGAGCATGTCGTTATCTCGTTGCCGAATGGGTGGTTCTCGTCCGATGCACATCGTGAGTTGCTACATAGTTACTTATTTCTTGTGCAATAACATTTGTGTAACATAGAGTCCCTCAAGTAAGAATCTGGATATGTAATATGTAATAATATTTTAATAACTGGATTAAAAAAAATTTTTTTTTTTTAATTAATTTTTTCTATATTTTATTATTATTCATCTCTCTTATATTTTAAAATTACACTTAGTCACAAATAGAATCCTTTTATTTGACAATCTTCAGTTCCACCATTTTTTACCAAATAAGGAATTAGATCATTTAAACAAAAAATCGGAAATATTCGGACTTTTACTTGAGGAACTGACATAATACATACTCAATTTATATTTAACACATATTACACTAATTAACATATATATATATATATATATATAATATATCAAGCTTAAATTCAGTCTCTTGCGATTCGTCGACATTATTATGCTCCCACAAATAATCACTCGCAGCTATCGTCCTGCAATAGTCCAGTTTGAAAAATTCTTGATGATTGAATATCTGAAAGTCTTGATATTAATTATTAATGTTATAATCTGTTTTCCAGATGCTGTTTCGCATGGGAGTGACCGTAGTGCCGGCAAAAGCGGAGGACAGTCGTCGCTGCATGTTCTGTCAGAGTCAAGGAGACGGGACAGCCGACGGGCCGGCTCGGCTGCTGAATTTCGACGTGGACAAGTGGGTGCACCTGAACTGTGCGCTCTGGGCGGAGGACGTGTACGAGACGGTGAACGGAGCTTTGATGAATCTGGACACGGCCTTGCAGCACAGCCTCGTCCTGAATTGCATTATCTGCGAGAAACCCGGAGCTACCGTCAAGTGCTTCAAGACGCGATGCACCAACGTCTACCACCTCGGATGCGCCGTCAAAGACGGTTGCGTGTTTTACAAGAACAAGGTAACGCGATCGTAGAATTCTTTTGTATTCACGTACGTCGTCCAGCCCTATGAGAGACTCCGCTGACCTCCTCGACTTCTTCCAGAGCACCTTCTGCTCGCAACACGTGCAAAAGAACGAGAAGGACAACGAGCTCACCACCCTGTCCGTTTACCGTCGCGTTTACGTGAACCGTGACGAGAACCGCCAGGTCGCAGCAGTTATGCACCACTCGGAGCACAACCACCTGCTGCGCGTCGGCTCGCTGATCTTCCTCAGCGTCGGCCAGCTGCTACCGCATCAGCTGCAGAACTTCCACACGCCCAACTACATCTACCCGGTTGGGTATAAGATCGTGCGCTTCTACTGGAGCATGCGGCGTCCCAACAAACGTTGCCGCTACGTCTGCTCGATCCACGACGTCTCCGGCCGGCCGGAATTCCGAGTCCTCGTCCAGGAACCCCTGCAGGAGGACGTGGAACTCCGTGACGCCACTCCGCGCGCCGTCTGGAGTCGGATTCTGGAGCCACTAGCGGAACTGAGGAGGAGCACGAATTCCGTTCAGCTGTTCCCAAGATACGTCTCCGGGGAAGACCTGTTCGGCCTGACTGAGCCAGCTGTGGTGCGAGTCCTCGAGAGTCTGCCTGGGATAGAGACTCTGACTGATTACAGGTGAGAGCAGTTCGTGGTTGCCTCTTGAAATTCGACGACGAAGTATTCTCCTAAGGCAATTGCCGTTCCCCGAAAGAGGAGTTACCATGATAATTACTTACCGCACAGAGAAAGGGTTTAATCAAATTTTTTTAATTGGAACAAATTTGTCTTTTAGAATGGGGCAAACGAACGAACGTTTCATTCAACAAACAGGATTGTTTGATTTCTGAAACAATAAATATCTCGACGTCAAGCAACATATTTCTTTTATATTTCCATCCAAACATTACAATGGTTGTGACAGATAATAAGTTATTCAAAAGAAGTAACACTATATTAGAAAAAGATTAAAGAACTTCTTTGCTTCAGTGGGACAATATCTAACATATAATGAAATACAATTTCTTTTCTTCTATTAAAAACTAAATATATCATTTCCTCTAAATAATACTGGTTTTTTTTTTCTATCGAACTACGTGGTTTTTTTCTAGCGAAACAACATTTCTGTTCAAGCAAAATGATATTTGATGTTAAATTATGTTATTTATAGTAAACAAACCCGAGTCAAACGTTTATTAAATCCGAAGGAACTTTTTTTCCTGTGCATGGATCTGACAATTGTATCACCAACATGATTTCTATATGGACTCGTTTCGATGCTTCGACTGTTGTATCACTCCAATTTTTTCACCTAACTATTCCTTATTATCAGTTGTTAAAAACTTTCCAAAAAAGTAGGACTTAAACGTCTGCCAATATATCTTGACTATCTTATTTTTATGTTTGTAATATTTACCGAAAATTGGTTTTTTTATTGAATATTATTTTTGCACAAAGACCAGCTCTTATCAGCCCGTTTTATATTAATATGTTGGTCCCAGAATCTTATATCCACTCTAATTCGTTACAACGACGTTAAGATCGTCGTCGAAATTTCCTTTACGAAATCTCAATATTCGAACATCTTCTGGGCTTTTCAGATTTAAGTACGGACGCAATCCACTGCTGGAGCTGCCGTTGGCCATCAACCCGACCGGCAGTGCTCGTACCGAAGCGCGATTACGTAACCAACTGCCGTGGAAACGACCTCATACGCAGCGCACGGGTTCGCACTCGTCGGCACGCGCCGCAGCGGCGACGGCGTTCGCACCGTCGTCGTCGTCGGCGGCGGCGGCCGCTTTTGCCGCTGGCGAGGTCGCCTGCCCGTATTCTAAGCAGTTCGTACATTCCAAGAGCTCGCAATACAAGAAAATGAAGCAGGAGTGGCGGAACAACGTTTATCTCGCTCGCTCGAAGATTCAGGGCCTCGGTTTGTACGCTGCTCGCGATCTCGAGAAGCACACCATGGTGATAGAGTACATCGGGGAAATTATCAGGACGGAATTGGCGGAAACTCGGGAGAAGCAGTATGAGGCCAGGGTGCGTGTCGTTCTACAGTAAAGGCCGTTTCTACAATAACGTAAACGTAGGCGTGGGATTGTGGGAATAGTAATAATAGTGAATGTTGTTAGCACAAATAGTGAAATGTTTGCACAAATTGATCTACGGAGCAAAGATACGTCGTGAAATTTGATTATGGTAATCAATCGGGATGCAGTTTTACGTCTCGATGAGAACGGTGTTGGTTGTTTACCATAATGGGTAGGTAGAAAGTCTTTTTGCTACTGTTATTGCTGTTACAGTGTGATTTTTTAAATTTATTTTGTGCCTAATTAAAAATAAGGCAATGGGTGCTTCCAATCAATCGGCGACTTTCGTCTTCAAGCTGAGTATTACTCAGAGCAATACGCTTTTCTTTTTTTGTATTTCATAATATAATATAACCAAATACACAGAGTGCAATGGATGGCTTGAGAGTCATAGTCACGCTCATTTCCATGTATCGACAAAAAGAATGATGGCGACGTGGACATGTGAATAACAGCTAATTGGCTCTTACGTCTTACGTTGTCGTAGTCGTGAAAGACAAAGTTCAACCACTTTTCACAACACGCTTTACAATCGGTAGTACTAATTTACAACTGCGCGACACTTACCTTACTTACCTTACGACACTTTACAATCACTTATAACTACGTTTACGCTATTGTAAAATAGCCTTAACGTTGTAGTACATTTTTAACGAAATAATTAGAGGAAATTTTCCCTCAACACGTTCGCTACATACGTGTGACGATGACAATTTTTCATTCCACGTTTAAACAAACAGACTGAGGCCGTCAGATTCACAGTCAGATCTTATATTTAAGATCGTCTTAAGTTCATCTTCAGACGCATTATAGCCAATGAAACGATCTGTATAGTACATGAAGATAAGAATTTAATGACGTATTGCCGATTAGTGCTATATTTTCATTGCGTTTAATATTACCCTCCGCAGAATCGAGGAATTTATATGTTCCGGCTGGACGAGGAGCGAGTGGTAGACGCGACGTTGTGCGGCGGCCTTGCCCGCTACATCAATCACTCGTGCAACCCCAACTGCGTCGCCGAGATCGTCGAGGTTGAGCGTGATCTGCGTATCATAATCTTCGCTAAACGTCGGATCTCACGTGGTGAAGAGGTATGCTATTACAATTTGTATGTTTATACAATTTCTTCAATTAAGGACATTGCGGGCTGTACGTGCTTACAATATAAAACAGGAAAAATTAAAAATATAATGTCAGCATAATTTTTTGTCTCTGAGTGCTGATGTTTTTTTTTTCCTTTTTGTACGTAATCCTTAGCACAAAACAGTTGATACTTATAACAAATAACTTTTCCTTTATTTAGCATAAATTGTATCTACGATTACAAAGTTAATTCTGCAAAAATGCACATATATATGTGGTTTTACATAATTGATTGTTAATTTTAATAAGTTAATATTGTATTAAATATTAATTAAATTAGTTTTAGTTTGGGTAATTTAACTAAATTAACTTTATAGGCCATTAACTTTTAACTTAATTGAAAATAAAAATTAATTTACCCAACTTTGCTTCTATCTGTGTTATCACACTTCCGTATCATATATCTGACTTGCTTATTATTCCTCAGCTGGCATATGATTACAAATTCGACATTGAAGACGACCAGCACAAAATTGCATGCGCTTGCGGTGCACCGAATTGCCGCAAGTGGATGAACTGAAGTGAAACACCTGACAAGGACACGAAGAAGAGACAGGAACGAAAGGAATCACGTGAACTAAGAGGAACTCGTCTCAGTCTGCACATTACGCCTGACGTTGTTATCTTTATTGTTTCGTTTGTAACATAAAAATAGGGTATATTTTTTCTTAAAGAGAACATATAAGAAGAATTTGTAAAAATTTTCCGAATCTTTGAAAATCTTTGATATTGGGGAGAATTTTTAATTGTGAAAATTTTTAACGATATTTCTCTCAGAAGAGAAGGAAAACTTCTCCGAAGAAAAGAAAATTCTATGTATAAATATATAGATAAGCACGACGGTTGTTTACAAAATATATATACACACACATACACACACGCACACACATACACACACATATAGCCACACATACACACCAATCGTAGTTATATTTACTTCGTGTAAAGAGTGTCATGCTATCGCGTTTCTCAATTAATCGATTAATTGACGACGACGACGACGACGACGACGACGATGATAATGAATTAGTTGAACGTTTTGGTGCTAATCGCCACCATCACACACACATTCCTCCAAAGTTGTATAATATATGTAATAACGTATATATATATATATATATATATTTATATATATATGTATATATAGAGTTATATATCGATCATGCTGTAACGGAAAGGAACGAAAATGAAAACAGTGAGAGAGAGAGAGAGAGAGAGAGAGAGAGAGAGAGAGAATATATATATGTGTGACACGCAATATCACGCTTGTAAATTATATATACACGGCGAGAGAGAGAATGCGTGTGCGCGTGAAAGAGAGGATTTCTATCATTGTGTACGAGCCCAATGGACGACGTGTTGTAATATATATATAAATCGTTTATTCATATTATATTATTTTATTATTACTATTATTATTATTATTATTATTATATATCTGTCTACTATCTATTATATGGTTTGTCTATGTACGCGACAGGATTGCATCACGTATGTAGACGCATACACAAACAAATACACACGCAGCATCTCTGCTGTGCTCTTTGTACATACATTATGTATATCTGTGTATATGTACATATGCATTTTACATATGTATGCATATATATATATATATACATGTACGAAGTGAAGTAGTACATTATTTTCAACTACCCGGTGTGTAAAGCGATAATACAGTACCTCTCAATTTGGAAATTATATACGATTATACCGATTTCAGTGCAAGCTATTGTTATTGCAAAACTCACGAAATCCTGTTGACTTCCCTCCTCTTGATCGACATCTTTTTTTTTAGTTCCATGAATTTTCGAAATCAATTGAACTTCAACTTCAAGATCGATTGAACTTCGAGTTCAATTTACTGGAACTTTACAAATATACACACAGATTTACTTAAAAAGATTCAGACTTGCATTTATTCGGCGTTGAAGTGATTTTCTTTTGTAAACTGTTAACAGAAAATTTCTCTACAAGATATCCTATTAAAAAATGTTATTACGAAGAGTGTTCAAATTTAAAATATAATTTAATTTTAGCGTCAAGTCAGAAAAACAAACGCCGAAGTTGGTAGCGCTGCCTAATGCGCGGGAACAAATACTAACTTGCTTCAGTCTGTTCAGTAACCACTGAACAGTGTTATGCGCATATATGTAATACTATATATGTATACATATATGTAGTATTACATATATGTCGCCCCCTCTGACTTTTATATGTTTGGATCCTTAAAAAAGTTTCTAAGGGGGAAAAATCTCGTTCCAACGAAGAGAAGTCATCGAAGCTGTTCGAGAATGGGCGCGTCTGCAGCCGGAAGAATTTTTTTCTTAAGGAATACGGAAGCTACCAGAAAGATGGCGCCAGTGCATTAAAAAGGAGGGAGACTATATTGAAAAGTGAGTGTGTAAATTACTTCTATGTTACTTTTTGAATAAATAATAAATTATAATGTAAATTTGAACACTCCTCGTGGTTATTTAATGATAATAGATGATATCGAATTTCTTTTTTACAGAGAATATTTCTTTACTCCTCGAAGTAGAAGGGGTAAAAAATACACAATTGCATTAATTATGAGTTTTTATTTTCATACCCTTGGTCGTATTTACAAAGATTATTACTAAACAAATTATTATTATACATAATAATAATTATGATAATGTGATAATAAAATAACGCATAAATATATAAAAAATGCAGTCGTTCTTCTCTCAGAAATTCATTAATCAATAAATCCGCGCCTAAAATAATAATGACGATAATACTATAATAATAGTAATAAAAAATATATATTTACAAAAATATATTTATAAATCGACACTTCGCGCGAGACGAGCTGTACAAAACGATCGCTCTCACCATCTTTAATCGATCCATCTTATAATTATGTTCGAATTGACAGAACCAATTATCCGCTTTTTACCTTAACAGTATTTTAACGAGGTGAAATAATAATACTATAATAATAGTAACAAAAAGTACATATATTTACAAAAACTGTTTTGCAACTCGGATGTTTTTGCAGGTCGAGCTGTACAAAAATAGATCGCTTAGTCTCTCAATTAATCGATTTTATAATTATTCATATCAATCAATGGAATCAATTATCCTATTTCAGGATAATTTTCGCGAGGTGAAAGATAAGTATATGTAAATGTTAATGAATAATAAACAAGGGGGAGGGGGGGAGAGTCGTAATCAAAATGTATACAGTCATGAACGCAGATAAAGAAGACGTCTAAAAGAGAACGTTTATAAAAATGCAACTCTTTAGCCTCTTCTTAGCATTCTCTCTTCGCTTGAATTATATATTGAAAAAATGTATCGTTAATTGTTTCAATACAGGGGTATTCATAAAATTCGTTTGTTCGTCGACCGATTTCGAAGAGCGCAGTTTTTTAATCAATCTAGAATGTAAAAAAGTTTCTCGTAATATAGAAATTGAAATCACGATCCTGGTAGTTGAACACCGATCCTGAAGGATCCTGTCTACGTCATCGCTGGTTCAATCCTGTCGCATGCAACAAAAATCAACAGGATTTTACTATGGATGAACAATTATTATTAAAACAAGATTGTGAAAAACGAGAACAAAGATAAATTTCCGGAAAAGAACTCGAGAATTTGTGTCCAAATTAATTAAAACGTCATTTTAAAATTATCATGAATATTAAAAGATTAATTATAAAATGATGTATACATGTATTCAATATTATATATACCATATAGAAAAGTTTTTTTTCTCTAAACATGAAATATATATAATGCTCGAGTTAAAAAAAAAAGGAATCCAAATGTTTCACATTAACAAAAATAATAACGATAATAATAATGATATAGAAATTAAAATAGAAATTAAAATAGAAATTAAAATTCGCGCTTCCACCCAGCAGGGAGGATTTCTGACAGAAAAATCCAGACAAATTAATAACAACAATAACAATTTATGAAATATCCACATATGTTACAGTTTTATATACAAGAAGTTTATTATAAATGATCAGAGGGACTATAATTTTTAAGAACGAACAAAGAAGAAAAAGGAAAGAAGGAAGCGATGATTATACTCAAGCAGTGTAACTCAACAGTGAGTCAGAAGTGCTAATTGTAAGTTTAAAAAACATAGAGATTGATGATTTTACATAAGAAAAAGTAGAAAGAATATTGGTATTTCTTGCTATCCCTTACCTATATACTACCGACGAATTTAATAACACATTGAAATCTCGAGACTTTTGAACATAATAAAAAAGGACGCCAGAGTACTTTTCTTTTAAGATAAGTGAAACGAATGCTCGGAAAATCAGAATTCTTTACTTATATTCGAATAAAGTGTTGAACAATTATTATTAATATTCATTCATTCCTCAACAAAATTATATATACGGTATATGTACAAATCGAACCCATCTAAAGAGTGGGTCAAAAGTTTAATATATATATTTATTTATATATATATATATATATATATACTTATATACAAGATGACCTGGAAAAATTGGTTAGATCTATTTTTTACAAATTTGGAGGCTCGTGTTTAATCAAAATATGCATATGTAGTAACTTCTCTGATTTCCTAATTGAAACGGTTTCATTAAAGATCCATTAAAAATATTTTAGCTTTAGTAAAATAATTCTTATAATATTGTTTAATGTGCTTTAATTATGAGAAATTCAAGTTTTCCGTAATTTTACTCTCTTAAA